TCGATGTTGTCAGGCGCAAAATTTTAATAATTTATCTGTGTTAGAATTTGTGGTATTCAAAACAACCTGGAGGAAAGATAAATAAAAATTAACACCTTGGACATTCACTCATTTTCAACTAAGGAAAGCTTTGATAAATAACTACAGTATGTGTACACACAAAGGCATAGTTCGATCGATAAACGAGGCGCTCATTCAAATCACGATTAAATTGTAAAATTATATTATTTTAATTCTTTAAGTACTTACTATTGTTAGTTGTGTAAATAAAATAAATCTCTATAATAGTGGCAATAAAACACACTATTGCGGTCACTAAATATAATAGAGTAGGTATATTTATATGCATGCAATCATAAAGACGATAATAAGAAGAAGAATCCAAACCACATTTGGGTCAAAGATTGTTAAATTCCTTTGACCCCCATTTCTCGACGACACGTGCCAAACTACTTAAGCCTTCGGGCTCCGGTTGGCGAAACTTTTTTTGCATAAAGGTGGTCATCGCTGAAGCACCATGTTGTGATTTACGTAACATCGGGTGATTATTGGATACCACTATGCTATAAGAAGTTCTGGTTGCATTTTGAAATGTCGGAAAAGAATTAAGATTGGAAATCTTCTCTCTCATTCCCGTCACTGCAACTCCTGTACATCCAGGATCTACAGCTTGGACGCCAAGGAAACTCAACTAGTGAAGTTTAAGGGTAAGAATAACCGAGTTGAGGTCCTAGAACTGAATGTAATTGGAAGATTTAGGTAGCGTAGTACCTAATCAAAATGGGGAGACAGATGGTAAATAATAAGAATAAGACTCCCTAAATAACGTGACATTAAAACTTAAGTTGGTGCAGTTCATATCCGTCACCCGTAGCTTATAAAAAAATACATAAACTACAGTTTTCAACTCATTTATTACAATCCATGTAAAAAAAGATTTAACCCGAAGAAAACACTCTACACAGCTCGAACTAGGTGTTGGAATTTCCTGCCTGTTGCAGTCTTTTTCAAACAAGGCGAAAAGGAATAGGTACTCAGGTATGACCTAGACTGCATCTCATTTAACATCAGGTGTGATTTCGATCAAATACTTGCATCTTTCTCCATTAAAAAACCTTATGCAGATGACATGACCTGCAAAAAACTCGTTCGCGAAAGTCGGGATGCGGTCCCACGCAGAAGCGAACAGCTATACATACTACAATGTTGCGACGTACCGGTAACATGGCGCCCGGAGGCCTGCCGATTGAATTTTAATGCCGAACCAATATTTTGAGGGATTACCCACGTTTTAATTGCCTTTATTCAGTGGAGTACCGTCGAAGCCTACAATAATTTGGTTGTGCTCATGCGAATTGAAAAGTGAAGTTAAAACGTTTTTTGTAGAGCGCGATCAGTATAGGAGATATTATGTAGTTCAAGAAGAATTTAGCAATTTAAAAAGTTGAAATATTTTTTGAAGGGTGCGATCAAATTGAGAGCTAAGCAGGAGATATTCCGTAATTCATGAAGAAATAAATAATTGATCAGCTAGTTTAGGTAGACTTAAAAATTTAATAGTTCACTTGTTTTCGGCTCACAATATGCCTTGTTGATCATAGAATAGATACTTTTTATTAGACCACACAAAACATAAGTAACAAAAATCTATACGGCAAATAAAGATGGTCTAATTTAAAATTACTTTGGCTAACAACACGAGATTCTTTACTAGTCTAGATTCAACAGTCCGTAATAATTGTCATGGCTGTTCTATTTGACGTTTCCCACTGCAGTGGAGGGCGATTATGTTTTTATTGCTCAATCAGAGAGGATCGCCATGACTGCCCGTAGTTTCATATCCGTTTCGTAGTTAACACTGTTTATTGGATTGCACTTTTTGCCCTTTTGAAATATGAGATTGATGATAGCGTGAAACTGCAAATAAATATTGAAACAGAAAAGCTCTCCAAAATGTATGACAAGGGAATGAGAAAAGCGCCTACTTTATACTTAGTTATTCTGCTTTTAATATTATGCTTAGTGAATAAATTCTAAGTACTTTTATAAATGAACATGGAATTAATGCAATTAACATTATATTTAGGTAATAACTTTTTTATTCACCTAGCTTTTCAACCTGCACGTCACTTCAACTACCACGCGAAAGTTAAAAAATGACTATCACAATAAACATTATTTTGAAATCAAAAGTACTTATCTGTCTGTAGACCGAACAATTCGTGTCTAAGTCCAAAACGAGCCAAAATTTTGTCAGATATTTTGAAATCAAAAGTGTCCAAAGACAGAAAAATTCGTGCCACCGTCTAAAATGAGCTAAGATTTTACGTAAAAAACTAGACAATCCTCTTCAACATTCCGCTCGCGCTAATCTAGATAGTACACGAGGGCAGCCTTTGCGGACATCCTCCGGCTCTTAGGTGCGGCTGTGTTTGAAAAAACGCTGCCCTGCTGCGCCAGACTCGACCTTACCGCCTGGGAATAAGGCTTTAAGGGAGATGAAGAAGATGTGTGCTTTTCTGGCGGAAGCGGCGCGGCCTAGCGCTGAGGTGTGGTGCAAGTTACAAGCTATTTTCTCTATATTTTTAGGACTTTATGGTAAGAGAGACTTTGTCGTCTCTGAAATTTATTAACGTGCGATTATACGAGTGAAATTTTGAATATCATTTGAACATTTTTCTGACTTCCATGCCGCTTTAGATATAGGTATGAATGGTTCGTTCGTTTGTTCGTTTCAGCCAAATGACTTCCACTGCTGGATAAAGGCCTTACCCCAAGGTTTTCCACAATGAACGGTCCTAGTAGGTAGGTATGATGAATGGTCCTAGCTCTCAAATAAACTTATAACATCATATAATATTAATTTTTTAGAAAAACGGTACGCAGCCAAGCTGGAGAATCAACTGTAGATAAAGATAGTTTAAATCTTCTTAGGTATTTAACCATGTTAAAATGATTTTTGTCAACCTCCAAGAGAAAGAGATGAGGAAGAGCTAACATACCTAGACTTCCTTAATGAGTACACCCTCAGCGTTCCTGCACACGTCGCCGCCACCACGCCGCCACCGCGCCGTCGCCGCGCCCCTACACCACGGTAATAATATCATACAGTATTGTAACTTCATATAAACGGACGAAACGCGAGCTTTCCTTCGAAATTCAAATCTCGGTATGCGCTCGACATGCAAAAGTCGGGGGTGTCGCGAATGTGCCACAGTAATAAACGGACGATGTGTTGTTTTTTAAACAGTAAGCGCTCTTTTTTAAATAAAAATAATTACAAGTACCTATTGATACAGGGTGTTAGGTAAATGGGTTTATGAGCCGACACTAGCCCATGTTAACATATGCGTATAAATGGTATGGTGAAGTCAGTGATATCATTTTAATTTTCACACAAAATAAAATTTATAAGATCAGATTTGTATGAAAATTAAAATTATTAAAATGATGATATCAATTTTCTGACTTCACCATACCATTTATATGCACATGTTAACATGGGCTAGTGACAGCTTATAAACCCATTTACATAACACCCTGTAAAATAATNAAAACGGGACATATTGAGGCAGTATGTTTAAGCAAAAAGAAAAACAATAACATTAGGTCAGAATCAAATTGCAATGGTTTATATGAAATTCCAATCAACAGTGTAAGACAAGCCGGGGTGCCTGCATATATGGTCAATATATCTCTCAATGGTTGTAATATTGAAATGGAGGTAGACTCGGGGTGTGCATTTACATTAATCAGTGAACCGACTGCCAGACTCATATGGAAAAATAAATTACCACAGTTCAGTAAGATAGACATATTGCTAAAAACATGGACGGATAACCAATTGAACATTCTTGGAAAAGTATTTGTACCTGTCAATTATAAAGGAATTGTTAAAAATTTACCTGTCATTATAGCCAAGGGGCAAGGACCCAGCTTAATAGGTAGAAATTGGTTTAGTGATTTGAATATTCAACTTGAGGGAATAAATAATATAAAAATAGATACACAAGATGTTAAACACATATTGGAAAAATATAAGGATATTTTTGAAGAGGGTCTAGGTAAATATACTGGACCAATTGTCAGTATTACACTTAAAGATGGGGCTACCCCAAAATTTCTTAAGTGTAGACCTATACCATTTGCGCTAAAAGAGAGAGTGTGTGCTGAAATAGACCGCTTGGTGGCACAGGAAGTGCTAGAACCTGTACCCCATTCTGATTGGGCTACCCCTATTGTGCCCGTTTTGAAATCAAACGGGGGGGTGCGGCTATGTGGAGATTACAGATCAACAGTTAACATGGCAACGGACACTGATACATATCCACTGCCTACCCTAGATGAAGCATTCACACATCTTCAAGGGGGGGTAGTTTTCAGTAAAATTGACTTAGAACAAGCGTATACACAAGTGCAAGTAGATGAGCCTACATCTTGTCTATTGACACTTAATACCCCTAAAGGTCTTTTCAAGGTAAAAAGACTTGCATTCGGTGTCAAAGCATGTCCAGGCATTTTTCAGCGACTTATGTCTTCCTTGCTAGCTGATATTCCTGGAGTGGCCGTACTATTAGACGATATAGTGGTGATGGGAACTAATGTCATGGAACACAATAAAAGACTCAATATGGTTTTGAAGAAGTTACAACATGCTGGATTAAGAGTTAATAAAAAGAAATGTCAATTTCTGGCGAGAAATATAAAATTTTTGGGTTATATGATCGATGAATCAGGAGTACACCCATGTAAAGATAAAATTCAGACCATTGAAAACTTCAAAGCACCTCATAATGTTAAAGAGCTGCAAGCTTTTTTGGGGCTCTTAAACTTCTACGATAGGTTTCTACCCCATAAAGCTACTATAGCCGAACCCCTATACAAATTGTTACAGAGTGACATGAAATGGCATTGGAATAGCGGACATCAAAGGTCTTTTGAAAAGCTACGTACAATGTTAACTAGTGAAGACACGCTGGTTCACTACGACCACTAAGGGAAGATGATGATGATGAGGAGGAGGAGACCATAGTTATACCCTCACCTTCAAAATGGGCAGACATTATAGGAGTATCAGGGCCACAGGATATTGATGCTACACGGAGGATACAATATGAACAAACAGCACCTGAACAATATAAAAGGGCTCGCTCAGAATCAGTATCACCTCAACAATCCCACAACAAAAAACCAAATTTGGACTTAACACATGAAGATGAAGAGGAAGATGAAGATCTAGGAAGTGAAGTGGACGATTAATTTAAATAGAAAAGTTAATGCATGTTATAGTTGTTAAGAGTGATGTGTTGTGTAAGTGTCAGTAATATAGACTAGTGATAGAACTTAAAGACTAAAGTGATAGTGAACTATCCCGGGGGAAAGGCATGTCATGTACCCCACTTGGGGGTAGATCTGAAAAACCAGTCTGGACACGTCAGGTGAGTCGGCACGCGTGCTCTCCCGGTATTCCCGAATATCTACGTATACAATAATTTTCTTACAGGTCAGACAGCAGATGACCACGAACAAGTTTTATCGTCAAACATCCCCGGGACTATGGGACAGGTATTTATTATTTTAATTTTACAGCACCATAATCATGTAAAGTTTTCTCTTCTGTTAAAATAATGTTAATGAAAATAAAATAATTACGTAATTTCGATCCAGTTTTATAGTTTCAAGCTGTTAATAGTTACAATGAGTACAATCTCTTACGAAAAATAAGCAAATGTTTCTAAAGTTCAATCTATCTCGATACCAAATCATTCATTGAGGTATTTGTGGTGTAGTGAGAAGGTAACCGAGTTACTTTGATAAATATACTTCATAAAGCAAGAAATAATTTGTTGAGTTATGAATATATTGTACGTTTTCAGGAGCAAGTGCGATCGGTGCGCCTTCGGCTGTACCGCGAGGGTTTCACAGTGGACAACGGCCCGCTGCGTCACTATACCGACCCTGAGAATGCCGAGTTCCTTAACTGCATTAGAAGAGGGTGAGTATTGGTTAGAGTCTATTGGTTCTCAGACTTCGACGACATTTCCACATTTAAGTTATTCGGTAATGCTGGGTTCAGAGACTGCAAAACGGTATTCTTTCGGGGTCTTTGATAATATGGTCCTTCGAGCCAGACTACCAATTAATACAGTAACAGTACAGTACACAGTCAATAATGTTGGAATAAAGTTCCTGTGAAGCCAAAACCTACTATTATTTGACTATTCACTTCAATATTGATGTCTACGTATTTATAGTCTTTCGGGATCTTTTTTCGTCAATGGGGATTAGTGAACAAAAAGTTCATTAATCCCCGTTATAATTAGGATTTTATTTTGATTTTATAAGTTCCAATTGGCGTTAACGGGGAATAGTGAACAAAAAGTTACTGTTCACTAATCCCCGTTGACGGGGATTGTCAACGGGGAATAGTGGAATAAGCCAGTCTTTCAAGCGAGCTGGATTTTCCAGCTTTAAATTGTTCAGTTTAGGTTAAGATCCGTTGACAGTAGACAATACTGTGTATTCTCGAACATTTCTTCACGTCGCCGTAGGAACATAAATATGGTCCTTCGAGCCGGATACTCATCCGTTCTGATTGTTCAACCTGTTTGTTGCCCAGAGAGATGCCAACGGAGCTGGCGGGCGAGGGCGGCGGCGTGCGCGTGAGCCTGGAGGACCGCTGGCACGAGGAGTACGCCAGGGCGCCGCCCAAGACGCGCGCCTTCGCCGGAAAGGGACAGATGCTGGGCAGGTGCTTACCTTCTTTCAAGAAGAAGAAAACTTTTAACCGCCTCTGTGGTCTAGTGGTAAGACCACCTGCTTCAGACGCAGAGGTCCCAGGTTCGATTCCCAGTGGGGGCAGATTTTTCTGTTCGGTTTGGTTGGCGGTAGGACTTGTTCTAAGTCCGCCTGGCTAGCTACCACCATCTTACCTAAGTCTGTCGCCATAACAACAATGTTAACAGCATTGTTGTGATCCGGCAGTTAGAGGTAAGATAGCCAGTTCCTCCGTGGTTGAGGATTCCGGGTGAAGCTCGCTTCCACCTTCGGCCTGATCATCACTTACCATCAGGTGAGATACAGGCCAAGAGCTTCCTCGTTGTGGATAAAAAAATATATAAAAATACTATGGCACCACAATGTGGTATTTTATGTAATACTAAAGTCCGGTCGCTGAGCACGTAGAATTTCGTCCAATGACCCCAAGCTACCGCGCTCGCACACTCACTGCGGCCGCCCGTCGCACAGTCGCGACAGCAATATAATTACGCGCGGGCGATAAGGATGGGTAGCTTGGGGTCATTGGACGAAATTCTCCGTGCTCGGCGACCGGGCTATAGGTAGGGCGCGCGTGCCGCTCAAGACGCGCGCCTTCGCCGGGAAGGGACACATGCTGGGCAGGTGCGTTCATCTTCTATTAAAAAACATCTTTTCTCTATAAGACACTTCACAAAAATTTTTTGATTTTTTTTTTTTTATGCTAGCCAAGGCAGGTATTTGACCGCAATCGCACCTGGTGTTAAGTGAGATGCAGTCTATAAAGATAAAGCCCGGTCTCCGGGACTATTCCCACCTTTCGTTCCCACCACTGCAACTCCTGTGTAGCCAGGATCTACAGCCACAAAAACCCAACCAATGAAGGTCAAGTTTGTCCCGGGGGAAAGTTAAACTGTCATTGGACCCGCAACGAAATTAATCAGAAGAACATAGGAGTTCGAAATTAAGGTTAAAGGCTCGCATACTCACTGCGACCGCCCGTCGCACAGTCGCGACAGCAATATAATTACGCGCGAGCGGCAAGGATGGGTAGCTTGGGGTCATTGGACGAAATTCTCCCTGTTCGGCGACCGGGCTATAGGGGTGTTAGGGCTGGCACGAGGAGTATGCGCGCGCGCCGCCCGGAAAGGGACACATGCTGGGCAGGTGCGTACCTTCTTATACCACCAAATAGGACCATCTACATCAGGGGTTCTCAAACTTATTTTGTCTACTTTGAAAATAAATTATTTTTAGCGCCCCCATTTGTAGTTGAAAGTTGAGCTCAGTCGGTGTTAAGAGTCCCCTTAGTAGATGAAATGACAAATCGCCCCCAAGCCACAACGCCCCGATTTGTTTTCTGGGTCTCTTACCCTTTAGGCCTGCAGCGCCCACAAGGGGGCATTATCGCCCAACTTTTGTAAGGCTGATCTGCATCATCATTTCAGCCACAGGACATCCACTGCTGAACATAAGCCTCACCTAATGACTTCCACATCGCCCAGTTTGTGGCGGCCTGCATCCAGCGCCTTTTCATCGGTCCACCTTATGGGCGGCCGTCCCATGGTGCCCCATCTTGTCCAATGCCAAAGGCGTCTATGTATGTGCCACTAATGAAGACTTCATGCTACTAGACAGGCTATCCTGAACTGGTGGAGAGAAGCAGTCACAAGGAATCTTCCTCACCATGTGTCATAATATTTGTGGCTAATTTTATTCAGCTGAAATGATTAGCACCTAATTGGTCATTTATCTCTTTCTTTGTCTTGTTTTTTTAATACTATTCTTTTATCATCATGTCAGCCATAGGACGTCCACTGCTGAACACAGGCCTCCCCTAATGCTTTACACGTTGATCGATTGGTATTCTTTTAATCAATATTTCTTATTTATTTCGAAAATATATAACATTCCAGCCCAACTCCAACGACGGTAGGCGCGACAGCGCCGGTAGCCGCCGACCCCAATGATCGCGCCGCCAACCAGCGCGCCGCGCAGGAAGCCATCAACCTCGACGAGGCGCAGCCCACCACTACCATACAGGTAGATATGAGATATCTATAGATCATGGTTATGGCCATGGTTATGGTTATGGTCATGGCCATGGTTATGGTCATGGCCATGGTTATGGTTATGGTCATGATTAAAAGGCCTGCTGGTGATAGTTATAAGGTCCTGCCGGAACTCTTACCATTATCATTAGAGAATCTGTATACTCTAAAATGTAGAGTAAACAAATCATCAAACAGCTGCCCTATCTGAAACTTAAATGTCTTGAAACCCATTTTTAACGCTACATTTCGTTCCAGTTCCGCCTAGCCGACGGCAGCCGTCTGACCGGTCGCTTCAACCACACGCACACCGTGTCCGACCTCGTAGGCTACGTGGCGCGCGCCGAGCCCGCCTACCAGCTGGCTCCCTTCGCGCTGCTCACCGCGTTCCCGTCGCGCGAGCTGGCCGAGCCTGCCGCCACGCTGGCCCAGGCCGGCCTGCTCAACTCCACGCTGCTGCAGCGGCTCAAGTAGACAATAAACGCGAGAGAGAAATATAGCCGTTTTATTTCAGTACACAAAACAAAAGACTGGACGCTAGGGCACTGAGACACGCCATGGGCACGCTGCACGGCTCAAGTAGGAGATAATAAACGCGAGAGACAAATGGATAGCGGTTTTATTTGAGTACACGAGCGAGACTGGGTCATGGGTCGCTTCGTGACATGTCATGGGTCACTTCGTGACACGTTATGGGTCACTTCGTGACACGTCATGGGCCACTTCATGACACGTCATGGGTCACTTCATGTCACGTCATGGGTCACTTCGTGACTTGCCATGAATCACTTCGTAACACATTGTCATGAGTCACTTCTTTACACGCCATGGGTCACTGCTCAACTCCAAGCTGCTGCAACGGCTCAAGTAGACAATAAACGCGAGAGAGAAATATAGCGATTTTATTTCAGTACACAAAACAAAAGACTGGATGCTAGCCCCTTTATTACAAAAAGTTAGACTGGTTAGTCCCGGGTTTAACTTTTTTGTACTAAGGCTCCCTTCTGGCTCTACCAGCTGGCTCCCTTCGCGCTTCTCACCGCGTTCCCGTCGCGCGAGCTGGCCGAGCCCGCCGCCACGCTGGCCCAGGCCGGCCTGCTCAACTCCACGCTGCTGCAGCGGCTCAAGTAGACAATAAACGCGAGAGAGAAATATAGCGGTTTTATTTCAGTACACAAAACAAAAGACTGGACGCTAGGGCACTTTGAGACACGCCATGGGCACGCTGCACGGCTCAAGTAGGAAATAATAAACGCGAGAGACAAATGGATAGCGGTTTTATTTCAGTACACAAGACTGGACGCTAGCCCCTTTATTACAAAAAGTTAGACTGGTTAGTCCCGGGTTTAACTTTTTTGTACTAAGGCTCCCTTCTGGCTCTACCAGCTGGCTCCCTTCGCGCTGCTCACCGCGTTCCCGTCGCGCGAGTTGGCCGAGCCTGCAGCTACGCTGGCCCAGGCCGGCCTGCTCAACTCCACGCTGCTGCAGCGGCTCAAGTAGACAATAAACGCGAGAGATAAATATAGCGGTTTTATTTCAGTACACAAAACAAAAGACTGGACGCTAGGGCACTTTGAGACATGCCATGGGCACGCTGCACGGCTCAAGTAGGAGATAATAAACGCGAGAGACAAATGGATAGCGGTTTTATTTCAGTACACGAGCGAGACTGGGTCATGGGTCACTTTGGACACGTCATGGATCACTTCATGATACGTCATGGGTCACTTCGTAACACGTCATGCATGGGTCCCTTCGTGGCACGGCATGGGTCACTTTGTGATACGTCATGGGTCGCTTCATGACACGTCATGGGTCATTTCGTGACACGTCATGGGTCACTTCGTGACTTGCCATGAATCACTTCGTGACACGTTGTCATGAGTCACTTCTTTACACGCCATGGGTCACTGCTCAACTCCACGCTGCTGCAGCGGCTCAAGTAGACAATAAACGCGAGTGACAAATGGATAGCGGTTTTATTTCAGTACACGAGACTGGACGGTAGCCCCTTTATTACAAAAAGTTAGACTGGTTAGTCCCGGGTTTAACTTTTTTGTACTAAGGCTCCCTTCTGGCTCTACCAGCTGGCTCCCTTCGCGCTGCTCACCGCGTTCCCGTCGCGCGAGCTGGCCGAGCCTGCCGCCACGCTGGCCCAGGCCGGCCTGCTCAACTCCACGCTGCTGCAGCGGCTCAAGTAGACAATAAACGCGAGAGAGAAATATAGCCGTTTTATTTCAGTACACAAAACAAAAGACTGGACGCTAGGGCACTGAGACACGCCATGGGCACGCTGCACGGCTAAAGTAGGAGATAATAAACGCGAGAGACAAATGGATAGCGGTTTTATTTCAGTACACGAGCGAGACTGGGTCATGGGTCACTTCGTGACACGTCATGACTCATGGATCACGTCATGGGTCACTTCGTAACACGTTGGGTCACTTCGTGACACGTCATGGGTCGCTTCATGACACGTTATGGGTCACTTCATGACACGTCATGGGTCACTTCGTAACACGTCATGCATGGGTCCCTTCGTGGCACGTCATGGGTCACCTCGTAACACGTCATGGGTCACTTCGTGACTTGCCATGAATCACTTCGTAACACGTTGTCATGAGTCACTTCTTTACACGCCATGGGTCACTGCTCAACTCCAAGCTGCTGCAACGGCTCAAGTAGACAATAAACGCGAGAAAGAAATATAGCGGTTTTATTTCAGTACACAAAACAAAAGACTGGATGCTAGCCCCTTTATTACAAAAAAGTTAAGACTGGTTAGTCCCGGGTTTAACTTTTTGTACTAAGGCTCCCTTCTGGCTCTACCAGCTGGCTCCCTTCGCGCTTCTCACCGCGTTCCCGTCGCGCGAGCTGGCCGAGCCTGCCGCCACGCTGGCCCAGGCCGGCCTGCTCAACTCCACGCTGCTGCAGCGGCTCAAGTAGACAATAAACGCGAGAGAGAAATATAGCCGTTTTATTTGTACGTGGGTCCATAGGTCACTTTGCGACACGTCATGGGTCACTTCGTGTGACGTCATGGATCGCTTCGTGACACGTCATGGGTCACTTCATGGGTCAAAAGACTGGACGCTAGGGCACTGAGACACGGCATGGGCACGCTGCTGCAGCGGCTCAAGTAGTAGACAATAAACGCGAGAGAGAAATATAGCGGTTTTATTTCAGTACACAAAACAAAAGACTGGACGCTAGCCCCTTTCTTACAAAAAGTTAGACTGGTTAGTCCCGGGTTTAACTTTTTTGTACTAAGGCTCCCTTCTGGCTCTCCCAGCTGGCTCCCTTCGCGCTGCTCACCGCGTTCCCGTCGCGCGAGCTGGCCGAGCCTGCCGCCACGTTGGCCCAGGCCGGCCTGCTCAACTCCACGCTGCTGCAGCGGCTCAAGTAGACAATAAACGCGAGAGAGACAAATGGATAGCGGTTTTTATTTCAGTACATAAAACAAAAGACTGGACGCTAGGGCACTTTGAGACACGCCATGGGCACGCTGCACGGCTCAAGTAGGAGATAATAAACGCGAGAGACAAATGGATAGCGGTTTTATTTCAGTACACAAGTGAGACTGCGTCATGGGTCGCTTCGTGACACGTCATGACTCATGGATCACGTCATGGGTCACTTCATGACACGTCATGGGTCACTTCGTAACACGTCATGCATGGGTCCCTTCGTGGCACGGCATGGGTCACTTCGTGATACGTCATGAGTCACTTCGTGGCACGTCATGGGCCACTTCATGACACGTCTAGGGTCACTTCATAACACCTCATGGGTCACTTCGTGTCACGTCATGAGTCACTTCTTTACACGCCATGGGTCACTGCTCAACTCTACGCTGCTGCAGCGGCTCAAGTAGACAATAAACGCGAGAGACAAATGGAAAGCGGTTTTATTTCAGTACACAAAAAAGACTGGACGCTAGGGCACTGAGACACGCCATGGGCACGCTGCTGCAGCGGCTCAAGTAGTAGACAATAAACGCGAGAGAGTACACGAGCGAGACTGGGTCATGGGTCACTTCCTGACACGTCATGCATGACAAGTCATTGATCACTTCGTGACACGTCATGGGTCATTGCGTGACTTGTCATGGGTCACTTCGTAACAAGTCATGCATGGGTCCCTTCGTGGCACGTCATGGGTCACTTCGTGACACGTTGTCATGAGTCACTTCTTTACACGCCATGGGTCACTGCTCAACTCCACGCTGCTGCAGCGGCTCAAGTAGACAATAAACGCGAGAGAGAAATATAGCGGTTTTATTTCAGTACACAAAACATAAGACTGGACGCTAGGGCACTTTGAGACACGCCATGGGCACGCTGCTGCAGCGGCTCAAGTAGTAGACAATAAACGCGAGAGAGAAATGGATAGCGGTTTTATTTCAGTACACGAGCGAGACTGGGTCATGGGTCACTTTGGACACGTCATGGATCACTTCATGACACGTCTAGGGCAGGGTTCGAGGATATATATCAAGGGATATATATCAAGATATATATCGGATATATATCCGATATATATCAAGCCGGTTTTGATGATATATATCAACTTTTAAAATTTGTTACTGTATTTGTACTTTTTGACATAAGATTTTTATTTTTTTAGTTGATTTTGCCGTATTTAAAAGAATATTTTATGTTTTTGCTATATTTGTCTGATTTTAAGGTTTAAAAACATTAAAAACATGTTTATGTAGCACATATGCAATAGTATTCATGAATAATACAATAAAATAATAATATGGCTTTCATACAAAATTGATATATATCAAAGTTGATATATATCGGATATATATCATAAATATCCGATATTTTGATATTTATAATAAATATCGGATATTTTCGAACCCTGGTCTAGGGTCACTTCGTGACACTTCATGGACCACTTCGTCATGGGTCACTTCGTGACACGTCATGAATCACCTCGTGACACGTTATCATGAGCCACTTCGTGACACGTCATGGATCACTTCATGACACGTCATGGGTCACTTCATGACACGTCATGGGTCACTTCATGACACGTCTAGGGTCACTTCGTGACACTTCATGGACCACTTCACGTCATGGGTCACTTCGTGACACGTCATGGGTCACTCCGTGATAAATTATCATGGGTCACTTCGTGACACGTAGGATCAATTCATGACATGTCATGGGTCACTTCCTGACACATCATGGATCACTTCGTGCCGTGATACGTCATGGGTCACTTCGAAGCACGTCATGGGTCACTTCATGACACGTCATGGATCACTGTGTGATCATGTGTCATAGCCTAATGGGTCACTAGACTAGATGACGTGTCGGTTCAAGGAAACTGCTGACTAGTAAAAAATTAAACCAAGAAATTATAAAAGTTACTTTTATTTAAAGTAAATAATTACGAAATATAATTTACATATGAATTAACATCAATAACGTTTCTAAACTACGACTAAAATCGTATATCTATGTTATTCTACAAAATATAATTTTAAATAAACATTAGTCGCATATCGAATGTCACGTCCAATCACAATTTCACTATCACAGAAGAATTATCATTCAATAAAATAACCGCGTTATTTTATAACAATCCAAAGCTGATTTAACCTCGAAATCACTACGTCAATACGACGCCATTTTAAATTCGCTGAAATTTGGAACGCCAACAAAATGGCTGCCGTGGCTACGTGCAACACTCCGCCTTGGGGAATGTGCAGGCACATGGGTCGGTCGCTATGCATTCCGCGGGGCATGTGCAGTCACAAGCTGGAATGAGAAAGAAATACCCGTTAATAAAATGAAGCGTGTCAGAACTACCTACAGTTAGCTGCAAAAGAAGTATAATTCGCGTAACGAGGCGAGAGTTGAGGCTGTTGACAAGCAAAGATTTGTATCGCTATCACCCGTTTACACAAACAATAGGGTAAACCACCCAATCATTGGCACTCTACCAATTTATTGGCATGCTCCAGTTTTTTAAGAAAATTAAGGTTTTTTGTAGCCAAACCTTATATTTTTTACTAGAAATTGTACAGTAATATCATTTATTACTCAACTAGCTACACACGTTTTTTATTTTTTCAAACATCGCGGCGCATCAACCATTTGTTTGACAAACCGGGACCTGTGCGAAAAAAACAATCGAAATATTCATTTTTTACTAAGGTAAGAGCTATCATAATCTTTTAAAAAAATGCAAATCTATTTTGTTGTCCCTATACATAATCATTTTGTCTTATTATTGAATATATTAACTGCCTTTTTAAAACATTATTTTATAATTTAACCGCCAACTTTTAATTATTTGTGGTGTGCCAACATTTGGTATGCGTAAAATCTGTTTATCCATTTTATTGGCACACATGCCAATAAAAGGGTATTCAAAATAATTTGAGTTTATTAAAAATTATACCTAGTTTGTCTCAAAATTGAGTTTAAATTGAATTTAAAATATTTTTTAACGTTTTGGATACACCAATCCAAATGTTGGCCCACTGCCAATTATATAAAATCCATTTATTGGCACGGGTGACAAACATTGGTTAAAAAGGTGCCAATAAAAAATATTATCTTTTCAGCCACTTTCAAAGCCTTTCAAAGTCTTATTCCACTAATCCCCGTTGACAATCCCCGTCAACGGGGATTAGTGAACTTTTTGTTCATTAATCGCCGTTAACGCCAATGGAGTTTACGATGGGGATTAATGAACTAAAAAGTTAATTAATCCCCAGTACGTTAAAAATTAAATACATACTCATGTAAGAATCAGGTACCTTCTATTTATTACTGGATAAGAACTCACTTATTATTTTTATTATCAAATTAAATTAAATTTAAGACTGATTACAATACTTAAAAAAAATTAACACTTACCTGATTAACCAAAAGCACTATGGATATTGAATCGTTATTCCCCATTCATCATTTAAAAGAAGATGGAAACGATTACATACAAATTTGGGCCAAGATGTAACAAGATAAAAATGGTGTAAATTAATAGCTTTGTAATCAGGCTTAAATTTAATTTAATTTGATTATAAAAATAATCAATAAGTGAGTTCTTATCCAATAATAAATAGAAGGTACATGATTCTTACATTAGTATTTTATTTTTTAACGTAAGTTTTCTGAATAAAGAAAAATAAAATAAACTAAAAAGTTCATTAATCCCCATTATAAGCTCCATTGGCGTTAGCGGGGATTAATGAATAAAAAGTTCACTAATCCCCGGGATTAGTGGAATAAGCCTTTGAAAGGCTTTGAAAGTGGTACCACGGTCTACTATACAATTCAGATTGAAACATCCTGATCATCGCTCTAAGCCCGGTCCGTTCACAATTTTAACTGACGAGGAAGAACAGCTTTTTGTTGACTGGATAAAATAAAAATCAGTAGCAAAAAAGTATTTCCGAAGAGAAAAGAAGATTTGATAAAAGTGTTTATGGAAAGTTTAAAACCATATTTAAATATAAGCGTTTGAACTGATATGGTATGTTCACAAATTAATGTTACTTTTCTTATAACATATGATTTTATTTTGTTTATTTCTATCACATGAATCTCTTTAAAACCTCTACATAAGACCTAGCAGCTATTTTTCAGTCTTGCAAGAACAGTGCCAATAATAGGTAATTATCACTGCCAATAAAAGGTTTGGCTATGCCAACAACTGGTATTTTGAGGTATTTTTTTAAAAGGTACACTATATTGAATAAATGATTTAATTTATTAATGATAAGTACTTTATAATATTCTGCAAAGATTAAAAGACCAATATAAATGTTTTTTTCTTTGATAAAACATATTTTTACATGCAAATTTTATCGGTTTTGTGAAGTAGCTGCTTAAAGTGCCAATAATTGGGTGGTTTACCCTACTATGAGGTTTCACAGTGTGCGTGGTCCCAAAAATTTATTCATAGACAATAATGTTAGTGGTGGAGTGACACCTTTGTTCGGTATAGGACAGATTCTGGGATTGGACAGATTCGTGGATTCGGCAGATACTGGATTGGACGGACGGACGGACACATGAACAAATCACAGAACTCTATTCAACGCTATGCGTTTCTACTACGTTTGTGAATACGGACGTCTTTGCTGACATTTTGCATAGACGAACTGGCAAGTGCTTTTGTCTTGCTTGAAGACATTTAACAGGAGCGTGGTAGCTAGTGAATTAAGTGTAATGTGTTCTGTTCTATATTGAAATATTACATCAGTGCGAGTATCAACGTGTTCGCCTCAACTTACTTTGAGCGATCTATACCTACACCACTACAATAACTGTGAAGGTGAGTACATGAGTACATGTATCAATTTGTATCAACACTGGTTGTGGTGGTGAGACTTTTGTATTACCTTCTTAACTAACGCCCGTATTCTCAAACATTACTATGAGCTCTCACAGTGCGGGTGGACGCACAGGGTGACACACGAACCAATCACAGAGCTCTATTCAACGCTGTGAGTTCGATTTTATGCTTCACTTAAGCGAGCATCGTTTGTGAATACAGGCGTAAATTAGCTTTAAATTAATCTAAACCGCTTAAGATAGACGCTTGAAATTTGGCATGCAGGTACCTTAGTAAACTTAAAGCTTAGTTACAACAGGATATTGCAAAATTCCCATGGGAACGGGAGTTAGTGGAAAAAAACATTTGTATGAAACAATCTAAACCGTGTAAGATAGATGAAGGGGGTAAAACGGGATCCACGCATACGAAGTCGCGGGCGGCTGCTAGTGCAAGTATAAAAGAGAATGCTCACGTTTGCAGTCTCCATACGAGCAAGGATCCATGTACTGTGTGCAGTCTTCTCCAGGTGGCAGGAACGATGACCGGTAGACGGTTGTGCTCTCCAACTGCAAAGATAAATCCTTATTAGGCCATTTTGGTCTACTATAGGAGTACGACCGTCTCTAAAACCAGACGAAAATTGGTGATTCGGCTTGCACTCCCCACGCTGGCCACATGGCTTGAAGAAACAAAATATAATGTAGACTCAGAGTTTCCAGATAACATCACTTTCAGTGGGTTGTCCAACCTCGCTTTCTGAGCCACTGTGAGCAGTGGCTTACGACATAGAAGACGTGGATAGTTTCACATAGAACATACTACAATAAGATACAATAGGGAATACCTATGCACGGTTTTTTTATTTCTCACATTTCAGTAGCTTTGGCATTATCATATCAATCGGTGCTTTTCTTTAACAACATTTTCAAAAGATGTCTAAGAAGATAATATAGACGTTAGAGATCTCATGACGTCATTGGTCATGTTAGAACAAAATCAAAAAATCAAAATCAAAAATATTTATTCAGTTTAGACCACAAGTGGCACTTATGAACGTCAATAGAAAATAATAAAAAAAGAAAAAGGTAGCCCTTATGGGGCACTTTACATGTCTCCTTATCTTTTGGGCCCTACCAGCGCTTCGAGACAAACATATGGCAAGTGCTGAGAAGAAACGCCGGAACAAACGGAACCGGAACCGGAACGACACGCAGTCCCATACAAGTTACTATGGGTGGGGACCTTTGACGTAAACTTTAAAATGCATATTCCCTATTAACTATGTGCGAGTGTGTGACTATCTTATAAAGGCTGAAATAGGGCTCTTACCCTCTGGCAAGGCTTCTGGTACTGTCCCTTGCAAGCCCATGGGGGCTTCTGGGGCGAAGGCACGCACACCGGCTGGTAAGACATCTTCTGGGTCGTACTGCTCTCCATTTTGGCTGGAAAAACAATTATTATACCTAAGTATTCAGTGAGATGGCGAGACGGTTTTTAAATTTAGGACTTCATAATCAGCATCCTCATTTCAGCCACAGAGGTTCACTGCTGAACATAGGCTTCCCCAATGATATCCACATTAGACATGCCACGAATATTCGGCTACTATTCGGTATTCGGCCTATTCGGCCACTTTGTTTGGTATTCGGTATTCGGCCGAATAATAGGTACTATTCGGCCGAATACCAAATCATTGAAAAAAAAGACACATCATATTAATCAAGATTTGTCTTTATTATCAAACTAGCTGACCCGGCGAACTTTGTTCCGCCTTAATGGCAATAAATAAGCAGACTTTTTGTTATAATTTCGAACGGGATAAAAAGTATCCTATGTCCTTCTCCTGGCTCTAAACTACCTCCCTGACAATTTTCAGCTAAATCGATTCAGCCGTTCTTGAGTTATAAGTGGAGTAACTAACACGACTTTCTTTTATATACAACGTGTCCCAAAATTCAAGGATAAGCCGGCGCCGCAGGGTGGACCTAGTCATGACTGCTTTAGGAAAAATAAGAAAAAAAATCTATCTCAATTATTTTTTAAGTTACACAATAAATTATGAAATTCGTCGAAAATTGACACCCCTTATGATATTTTACATTACCACGACTACAATTTTTCAAATACTTCAGTTTTTTTGTTTGTATCGGCAACTTAAGTAGTGCTGCTGTCCACCCCAATTCTTAAAACCCTCAGAATCCTTGCAGTTTTTACACAAAAGTTAATCAAAATATGATATTTCCTTAAAATTTTGAACGATTTTTACTTACACTCCACTTTGACTCGTCGTTTTGTAAAAAAACAGTATGAACACTACTGCGGCAAGTTTTTTATAAAGTTGACGCAACTATCCAAGATTCCGAAATGGTATAATACNACGTTACTACCACGATGTAATTTAGAGCGTACTTAGAGCGACGGTATACGGAGGACATGGCATGTCTAAATAAGCATGTAGATAATTTGTTGTTAGTTATGTAATATTTACTACTGTTTCGTATCAAAAATGTACAATATTTAAGTTGTACAGGTTTACCTTGTTACTAGGTTGATATTAGATTAGTTAGATACGTGATTAATCCAATTAATCTCACAATAAATAATTTTAATCCAAACTATCGTTATCTACAGAATAGATAATATTATGTAGTACCAAATATACTTATTTATCTCTATTTGTTTTAGAGCGATTTCGCACTATGTCACTAAATCCAAGATCCGTTATCCGATTTTTCTTGTTAGTTTTCTAGACCCATATTTTCACGGATTCGCCACCTAAGGGCCAGTAGGCCTTAGGGCCGGGCTAGGTCCTAGCCTAGCTAATGTTAATTTTTGGACTTTTTCGTTTACTATTCTTACGTTTTACTTACAGATCGCACGGTGAACAGAATGTCTTATTTGAACCCTGGGAGAGTCCCAATGCCAGAATCGTATGCGCCCAACAAGTGCTACGAGAAGCCTTCAGGTATCACACCTCTTGTTCTAAAAACGATGCTAAATGGGTATTATAATTGTAACTTTGCAACAAAAAGTGTCTAAGATAGAACACAATATGCATTAACAATGCGTGCTGTGTAATAAGATTGTAAATAATAAGCCTTGTAAAATATGTATATGGATAAATTAAATAAATACTAAGTCCAGGTAGCAAGAAGGCGCTGGAAGCGGTCCGCTACCAACAAGGCGATGTGGATTAGAGTTGCCACGAATAGTGATTTGGCCGAATACCGAATATTCGGCAACGCTGTCGGCCGAAGCGCCGAATATTCGGCCGCCGAACAAAGTACATGCTAGTCGACCGCGTAAATAATAATCCCATCAAAAACAATACTTGTCAAAAAAACCAAGTCTCGCAACTCAGTTGTTCTACGGTAAAAAGTTGTGAGATCCATGTAATACCAAGTCCAGGCCAGGAAATCTTTAATTAGCGTTTTACATAAATTATTGACTTGGCCATCGCATGAAAACACGTGTAAATTAAATTATTTAGTGCGATGGCCAAGTCAATAATTTATGTAAAACGCTAATTAAAGATTTCCTGGCCTGGACTTGGTATTACATGGATCTCACAACTTTTTACCGTAGAACAACTGAGTTGCGAGACTTGGTTTTTTTGACAAGTATTGTTTTTGATGGGATTATTATTTACGCGGTCGACTAGCATGTACTTTGTTCGGCGGCCGAATATTCGGCGCTTCGGCCGACAGCGTTGCCGAATATTCGGTATTCGGCCAAATCACTATTCGTGGCAACTCTAATCCACATCGCCTTGTTGGTAGCGGACCGCTTCCAGCGCCTTCTTGCTACCTGGACTTAGTATTTATTTAATTTATCCATATACATATTTTACAAGGCTTATTATTTACAATCTTATTACACAGCACGCATTGTTAATGCATATTGTGTTCTATCTTAGACACTTTTTGTTGCAAAGTTACAATTATAATACCCATTTAGCATCGTTTTTAGAACAAGAGGTGTGATACCTGAAGGCTTCTCGTAGCACTTGTTGGGCGCATACGATTCTGGCATTGGGACTCTCCCAGGGTTCAAATAAGACATTCTGTTCACCGTGCGATCTGTAAGTAAAACGTAAGAATAGTAAACGAAAAAGTCCAAAAATTAACATTAGCTAGGCTAGGACCTAGCCCGGCCCTAAGGCCTACTGGCCCTTAGGTGGCGAATCCGTGAAAATATGGGTCTAGAAAACTAACAAGAAAAATCGGATAACGGATCTTGGATTTAGTGACATAGTGCGAAATCGCTCTAAAACAAATAGAGATAAATAAGTATATTTGGTACTACATAATATTATCTATTCTGTAGATAACGATAGTTTGGATTAAAATTATTTATTGTGAGATTAATTGGATTAATCACGTATCTAACTAATCTAATATCAACCTAGTAACAAGGTAAACCTGTACAACTTAAATATTGTACATTTTTGATACGAAACAGTAGTAAATATTACATAACTAACAACAAATTATCTACATGCTTATTTAGACATGCCATGTCCTCCGTATACCGTCGCTCTAAGTACGCTCTAAATTACATCGTGGTAGTAACGTGAGCACGTTCTGACCATTCAGACCATAAGTGCGTAAGTAAATACCTAGATGAGCAAAGATAGAAAATGCATCTGGTATCAAGTGGCCGTTTGCATAGCAATTATAAGCGACACATGCCATTGCAATTTACGACGTGCTTGGGTTAGGAATTAACTACCTATTCATCATTGCAAAAGTGCAGTTACCTACTTTTATCTTTACTTGTTTGGAATATGGTCTAGATATCCATGTACCTAAATCTAAACGCTAGGATACAAATGGTAAGAACTGCTTGTAAAGACAGCAAATTGATTCCATTCTGATCTCTGATGCGTAGCACATGTCGTTATGCATACAATCGCCGTTTTCATTATTTGTTCACTTTAGCTATTTATTGCAGTGTCATGCTGTGGGTAGTTAAAAAATACAGGATGTCCTAAATTAGTATCTTTATTTACACTATGTCACACTGACACGGTGACACCGGAGGTAGCCGGGCCTACGACGCCAAGCCTAAACGCCTATAGAAGTTTCACAAGTTTAGAGTAAAAGTGCTCTTTAAAAGCTTAAGTACTTGCAAAAAAATCGAGTTTTAGGCCTATAACGTTAGTGTCGAGTGACGTGCAAACAAATGTACCTACCTACCTACATTTTTGCTCCACGTCTACAAAACTTTCGGGACACCCTGTATATTAAGTCGCTTACTTTCAAAAGGCTGTTCAACGCTGTGGAACTTGTGCGGCGGCTTGCAGCTCTCAGTCAAGATGCAGGGCTTCGGCACAAAGTCGTGCCGCTGGGTGGTCACGTTCTGCATGGGACCCTGGCCCCACATGTCGTGGTGGCACGGCCGGATCGCTTGCGTCACGCACACAGGGTTCGGCAAGAACGATAGCTGGACGAAGGGAACATAAGCACGGAATAAGTAATAGTACCTACCAAGACATAAGGCTGGTTTTAGTGTCACGCGGACCGTCCGGTGCGGACCCGCTCCGCACGGCCAATCTGTAGGTATGAACTTCTAGGGAGCGTTTTAGAGTAATGCGGTCCGGCCGGAGGAACCGCTCCGCTCCCTAGCAGTTCATACAAATCGGCTGTGCGATTCGCACTGACAGTTCTCGCGACACTAAAACCAGCCTAAGTGAGTATTTTCTCTTGTTTTTCTTTGCCCTAGCCCTTTTAGGGTCGGCTCTCCTTATTCTGTGGCGCTTGAAGTGGATCTAATCATCAGAAAGTACATTTGAATTCAAGTTATTAGTACCTAAGCCCTTTTCAGGGCACATTAAGTACGTTAGAACGTGGTTAGATTGAACCAAATACAGTAAGTCAGCGTCAAATAGTTCGTGATATCCAAAGTAGCCAAAAAGTTCGCAACACGTCTTTCTGGGGTGGGCACGCGTGTAGGTATACGCGCATGCACAAAATAACACGTCGCTGTAATATTATGTAGGTCCTTTCTCATTAAACTCCGGCTCGAAGGACCATGAGGCGCGGCCGCGCGCGTATTTGTGTATGATAGGGCTGGATACTGCGGGTTTCTTGATTAAAACACAATCTTCAGATAACACACTTGTGTATTCGTGGGAGCCGAGACGAGAGAGAGAAAGAGAGAGAGCAAACATTGCCATTACACAAAAATTAAATTCCACAGTTTAGTGTTCCCATGCAACAGTCATCCAAGTACTTAACTGATACCTAACCCGATTACCGAGGTACCACACTGACTAACACCTAAGTGCAATAACTGCAATAGTTATCAACGGCCAAGTGATAAAAAGATGTTGGAGAATTTTGTTTATTTGCTGCCATTTTTTGATTGGTCGGTTAATAACCGACCTTCGATCGTGTGTTTGAATTTACCTTATGCACAGTGTCTCCTTCCATTTGTGCTGTGGATGGCACCAGGTTCGGGGAGGGTTTCACTGGCACCGGTATAGGCGCCTTGGCCGGCAGATAACTAAAATAAAAAGCAACATTCAATACGATTGAAAAGAACTAAAAATTAGATAGTAAAATATGGCTCGGTTTCTAAATCGAGCGTGCTTATTTTCTTCTCAAAGATGAATTACTTAAATATGAAAAGTTATGAAACTTGATTAGAAAATGAGCTCACTTAAACCATGAAATCGGGACATTGTCATCACCAAACTACAAGGTTGTGATTTTAGGATTACCTATACAAGTTACAAGACTATACTCCCATATTCACAAACATTAGTACTATGAGGTCTCACAGTGCGCGTGGACGCACAGGGTGACACACGAACCAATCACAGAGCTCTATTCAACGCTGTGCGTTCGATTTGCTGTTTCACTGAAGCAAGCATCGTTTGTGAATACGGGCGCAACCCTACAGGACACCTATAACCTTATCATCAGGTGATCTGTCAGCTCGTTTGCCTGTCACATAAAAAAAAAAAAGCCAAACCTAGTTTGGTCTTCTATAAAACCCAACCAGTAAAGGTTGAGTAATTGAGTAGTCCTAGGGGATAGCTATTATAGGAGTTAAAAAGGCTATGGGGTCACCTGTTTTTATAAATCGTCTGCGTCTCGAATCTCTTGGAAGCCGTCACCGGATTGGTGCAGCTGTCAGGGAGGATGGCTTGACGGCGGCAGTCGCTCTTCGCGTCTAGAAAACTAAGAGCACAATGACTGTTAGACAAAGCTTTAAGTAGGTTCGAACTTTGATGATGATGATGATTCATCAGACCGATTTCCGCCATGGCCACCACTTCAACTCCTGTGTTGGCGGTGCTGATGCGCCCGAAGATGTGTGATATAGACTTAGCCGATCTTCGCGAAATTTCGTTCGTTTCAGCCTAATGACGTCCACTGCTGAACAAAGGCCTTCCCCAAAGATTTTCATAACGACCGGTCCTGCCCTGCCCGCAACCAGGTTCTTCCCGCGACCTTCACCAGATCGTCGGTCCACCTAATGGGAGGCCTGCCCACGCTACGTCTTCCGGCCCGTGGTCGCCACTCGAAAACTTTTCTGCTCCAGCGGCCATCATCTCTACGAGCTAAGCCCGATCACTGCCACTTGATTTTAGCAATTCTGCGGGCTATTTATTTTAAACACAAAACAGACAAAAATACTAATTCGAAAATTAATGTGTACCTCATAGTGTACGTCGTGTTTCCGTCTAGCTTGTGACACGGCTTTTGATACTGCCCCTTGCATGCCCATGGAACAGGCTCTTTTGGCAAAATCTATGGACAAAAATAATAATAAATCGAGATGGAAAAAATAGCGTTATATTTCGTTCGTTTCAGCAAAATGACGGTCACTGCTGGACAAAGGCCTCCTCCAAGGATTTCCTTAACGACCGGTCCTGCACTGTCCGCATACAGGTTCTTCTAGCGACCTTAACCAGATCGTCGGCCCTATCTATTCATCAAAGGGCGTTTTTATTATGAAGAAAGAAATAAGACTAATAATAATAAAAAGCTCTCATGTAGCATGAAATTCTGCTTCTGCAAAGACGTTTAACCGCTGATAGATTTTGTTAAGTTCCTCACTTGCTGCCAGCGTGATATCAAGTGTCTGTCATGATTTTAGGTTTTGATAATACCTTTTCTAAGTCTACGGATCTAGTGATAGCTATAGACCTTACCTGGTTAGGCATAAAGCTCATTTTGTGTGTGGTGGTTCCCTCCATCTTCGCAGCAGGCTTCTCGTAGCAGCGCTCCGGCGCGAACGACTTGGTCAGCTCGATTTTTTCGGGAGGCAAGTACGATAGCTTGTTGATTGTGCGATCTATAAAACATCAATCGTTATTTACTTTTGCTCTACATCTCTAATGCTTGAAATATAAAGAGCTTTCAATTCGAAGTATAGCAGATTCCCGCGAGTAGTATGTTTAATGAAAGTTGGTACTTCTTTTCAAATATTTAATCTTATGTTTTTCGATGACATTCTACAATTTTACGCATTTGTTTCCAAATTCACACAAGTATAATTTAAAGAACCATAACATTTTTTGTCAGTTAATATGATTATGGTATAAGTCCAAACTCCAAGATGGGCTGCAAACTGCAACCGCAGGCGACACTGCGGCTAAGGCTGCGGCTGACCGCAGTGAAAAAGAAAAAGTCAAAGAGACCGTGCCGTGGTGGCTTATAGTTTGTGGGTCTGCAGTCCATCTTGGACTTGTACCTTCCTCTACAAGATTAAGAAAATCACATCCAAATATAAACGTTCTGACAGCAACAGTGTGGCTCACTTTCGAACGGTTGCTCCACGCTGTGGAACTTCGGGGGAGGCTTGCAGCTCTCTCTCAACACGCAGGGCTTCGGCACGTAGTCGTGCCGCTGGGTGGTCACGTTCTGCATGGGACCCTGCCCCCACATGTCATGGTGGCACGGCCTGATAGACTGCGTCACGCACACTGGGTTCGGGAGGAAGGATAGCTGGGGAAAACCACCATATTTTTTTATTGATGGCAAGGGAGTTAAATCTCTTTTGAATTATTAAAAAAAGCGTGCCATCATGCCTAAAAAGGTAAGTAGTTGCTCTTGTTTACTGTATTTGCGCCACTGACGAATGACAGGACTATCTTACGAGCAAGTGAGTCCAAATGCGACAGTCCTCATTCTGCTTAGGAGCTTATCAGTTGGCGCCAGGTATCTACTTGGGAATGACAGGATCCACGCTAGGCACGTCAATTAGTGACCGCAAAATATGCTAACTTTCTTTCGGTCAACCGGTGACATGAAAGTGGTAGAAGCTCTTAGGATTCAAGGCTAGCGTATAATACGGTACCTGCGACTGCGATAATATGCGATACGTCAACATAGCGTTACATTAGTTGCAACAAGTTGTATTTTTGTCGCTGACGTCAAGGCTCTTCAAATTCTTACGACTGATTGTTTAGTTAGAAGATACTATTCGATAAAGAAATTATTACAAAGGTGTGATTAACTAACAGACGGCGTGTTTTTTCTTTTTGGATTGCACTTTTAATTACTCTAATCGGCGTACTTTTTGAAACTTATCATCATCATTTAATTTTCCTCCTTCTGATGTCCAGTTCACTGCTGAGCATAAGCCTCCGCCAAATATTTTCCATAATGACCGGTACGGCCTCCAACTCCAGAACCTTGCTGCCCCATCGGCCATCAGTCCTGTGTACTATGCGCCGTGCCTATTGTCACTTCAGCTTATTAAAATATCGGGCTATGTCACCGATCTTAGTTCGTTTATGGATCTCCTAATTTCTGATTAAATTGACCTTTACGAGATAGGTAATGAATCAAATCATTTAACCATACCTTTTGCACAGTACAGCTCTCCATCGGCTCGCAACTCGGCACCAGGTTCGGCGAGGGCTTCCTGGCGACTCCTCGGAGGTTCTTACACCCATCCACCGGTAGATACGACATGTTGTAGGTCGTACCCGACTCGACGCGCGCCGTCGGCTTCATGTAGCAGCGGCGGGGCGCGTACGAATCGGGGATCCGGGGTTGCTTGTAGCACTAAGAAACAAAGGTTTTGAGGAATAAATACGTGGCGTGACGTCACATAGACACTGGTACGGATAGAACGCGGGGAGGCGCGGGGTGAGTGCGAGGGAGAGTCGTATTCACACACACTGAAAACCAGCGCCGTGGCCTTCGTCACCGTGGGCCACGGCATATGCTAAGGGGGGTCCCGTTGCAGTGGGCATCTTGTTTGTGAATGGGTGGCACTGCTCAGTTTACTCTTGTTTTTATTTTTTCTTCTTCCATTATTATGCGCCACTGTCATGTCTATGTAATTGCCTGTGTTTGTGTGATGTCCATTGTAATAAATGTATCTTTCTTTCTTTCTTTATTCCAGCGAGATGCGCAGTTAACTTGACCGGGTTGAACTTTAGTTACTTCAAAGGACCAGTCGATGGATTTAAATGTTTTACTTATTTATTGTTTATACAATAGAACAAAGTAGGTACAGACGACAGCGCGTCAAGGTAAACTGTAGCATCTGACGTTGCTGTGTAATAGGAGTGATTTTGCACTAAGAATGAATAGTCTCATGTGCTGTCACTCACTGAACTTACTTTACATTAGTTCACAGTCTACCAAACGGAGCAATATGTAGATGTCGGCAGTTTTAAAAACCTAATAAGTAGGGGAGACCGAGGAGAATTGTAACAGGGGTGAGTTGTGACATTGTCGATTTTTGGCAACCTATTAACTTATCAGCGAGCGTGTATTTGTTAGCTCGAGATTCGAACTAAAAAACGCGCACTGTTACAAGCTCGCTAAGTAGTTAATAAGTTTCAAAAAATCGACCATGTCACAACTCTCCTTTGTCACACACAATTCTCCTCGGTCTCCTCTACTTATTTATGTAAGCTCACAGACACAAAGCGGGTTGGTTTTTCTCACCATTTTTCGAAAAGCTAACAGAAAAGTCAGGACAATGTGACAGAGTTGAACAAAATTCACACTCTAACTGTTTTAATGAAATTCAGCGTGTCTGAAATACAAGCTGTACCATGGAACCAGGTTGTACCAACTATACTATGTATACTGCACTGCGACTAAAATAGTCGAAGCGATGCTTATAATCTAGCTTTTGTCTGGGAATTCGTAGTTAAAATAACAAAGCCCCTATTAAACGCTGACTTTAATACGAGTCTTAAGTTATTTTATTATTTTCTGTAATTTTTTTACTACAAAAGTTTGCTGCGGATTTTTTTGGATAGGAATGATCAAATTACTATTTTCGTCAAATGGCAAGAATAACATGGAGTTGATAATTCTTTATGTGATCAAAGTGACGAGAAAGAGTTGTGTAAAGGCAATATGAAATCTGGAATTTATAGCTGACTGAGCAGCTGGCAACCGGGGCGCCAAACGCGTACCTCCTACTCTTGAATTACACAGGCAAAATTAACATTCAAGTATGATTGTGATCACATCACAGCCGAAACAGCCGTGAGTATCTAAGTAAGTACCTACGTATGTAACTCATTATAGTAAATGTCGCATTGAGACCCTTGTTTCTGACCCGGTGGGTCATGCTCCGGGACCAAGGTCCAATTGACGATTGAATATCTTGGTTTTCTATAGTTAGATCGGAAATCTGATACCGCGATGTAGGTTTGTAGGTACGCGCTTATATCAGCGCCATCTGTTGAGTGGTGCCTGCACTAGTTTGTAGTGGCGACTAAAAAAGAAAGACACTAGTCTTGTTAACGCGACATTATTTTATGAATGAGTTACACTATGTACTCATGGCTTAACATGTAACTCATTCATAAATGTCGCGTTATTCGTTAAGACCCGTGTCTTTCTATTTTAGTGGAAATGGAACGCGAAAGTAAAAATCTTGTAGTGGCGAGTCGATAGATGTCGCTGTTAAAAATATGCCTCACCGGCTTGACAATCGGCGGCTTCCCACAGCAGCAGCTGCGGCACGGGCACGGCTGCTCCTGCCGCCCGTCCATCGGCCTCCCGTCCTGCGGGCCCGACTTGACGCCGGCGGTCGGCGCGCACGGGGCCGCCGCTGGGCATGGTATGCACCTTGAACAATAACATCAAATAAAATATTTTATTCAGTACTTCTCTTTAAGCCACGTTTTCACTAGGGGACATGTCGCGGAGATAAGTCGTCCGACATTCACGTAGTTTGTATCTGCAACTTTATCCCTCGACATCTGACTTGTTCACACTAGCCAGTAGTGAACAGTATGACGCCCGAGGAGCGACACAAAGCGACTAGCGTCCTCACTACTCAAAGGCTGTCGGGCGGCTGTCGAGGGACACGAAGATGGCGCATGTCGATGCTCTGCGAGCATCGACAAGCGACAAGTCTCGCGACCCGTAGATGTCGCAAGCGACGTCGGGCGACATCGCGCGGGACACGTGAATTTCGTGTCGGGCGACAGAGTCGCGGGACAAATGTCTCCTAGTGAAAACGCGGCTTTAGACAGGTGGCGCGACCCGTGACAGTCCACGCGACCCCTTATTTTCCTGTTCCCTTGATGGTACAGTGGAAAATAAATTTTAACCGCTGTACCCTTGGCCGTAAAACCCAACCAACTTAAATTGTACACGTGACCAAGGGGACTAGGTTTTCTTGAATTTGGGCAAAAAACAAAAACAAATGAACATCGATAAAAACAAATGAAGTAACATGGATGTAGATAAAAGTAAAACCTAATTATAATTAATTAAGTACATAATATAATAAAAGACAATATTACGCCATTTTCCTGTACCACTTCTGAAATGTCAAAATTGTAGTACTGTCGACCGTCATGTAATAAAACAATACCGCCATTCCTCTCAATAAAACAAGGTATATCATCGTCAATGCAATTAGCTTCCATGATAAAATTCACAAAAAATATTGTAAAATCAGTTATGAAATAACATTCACAGGGACAATTGGGCAGAAGAATAATATCAAGATATCATATTTCTTTTTCAGAATAATAAAATTAGCCAAGTGCGTGTCGTGCCACGTGCAATGTAGGGTTCCGTAGTTGTCCGTCGTTAACACAATATATTTCAGAAAAACCAAGCAAATACTTAATCTAATCACTTTAAATATTTTCTTCTAAGGAATTTTATAATACATGAGTTAAATGACTATTACTCTAAAAAGAAACGGTAACATTAAATAAGTTCAATATCAATCCTAAAATAGGTACAGGATTACACTTGAAATGTAAAACTATAGTCTCAATCTCATTAAACATAGGTAAATATTAAATCTCATTAAATATGGGTTATATGGGCAACTAAAAAGTATCATCTAACTCCTAAATTACGAAGTTTGACCTTTCATCATTAGCTCACCTAAAAAACCTGAAGTAATACAACTGTATGTAGTACATACGTACCTAAAATATTTGAAGAATTATTCTCCAACTCCTAACCGTTAAGGAGTTTTACCTTCCATCATCACCTCATCAACATTAGATGATGACTATCAGATGCATATACTTGAATATCTTTAGAATAAATATTAAAAACGATATACATGCCTATAGAATTTAAAGGTTGTGCTCGATTTCCCTAGGATCCCATCATCAGATCCTGTCTTGGTGACAATGGGACCACTACAGAAGTGTACCCTATCGAACAAAAAAAAATAATTTTGAAAATCGGTCCACAATTGACGGAGTAATCGGTGAACATAAATAGAAAAAAAAAACATTACATACAGCCGAACATATTATAACCTCCTCCTTTTTTGAAGTCGGTTAGAATAGCGTAATATTGTCTTTATTCTATGTACTAAATTAATTATAATGTACTTAATTAATTATAATTAGGTTTTACTTTTATCTACATCCATGTTACTTCATTTGTTTTTATCGATGTTCATTTGTTTTTGTTTTTTGCCCAAATTCAAGAAAACCTAGTCCTCTTGGTCACGTGTACAATTTAAGTTGGTTGGGTATTACGGCCAAGGGTACAGCGGTTAAAATTTATTTTCCACTGTACCATCAAGGGAACAGCCAAGGGTACACAGGAAAATAAGGGCACGCGACCTGTCATTAGCCTATGATCGCGCCGGCGATAGCGATCTGCACGCGTTGGTGTGGTTGAAGCTTTAAGCCCTTTTCAGAGTTCTTATACACGTCTCAAATATATGTTGCTTGACTACTTAGGGACAGCATGGGCTGGTGCTGAGAAGAGGATAAAGAATAAAATATAACAGAAGAAGAATAACATGAACAAAAAAAACATGAAAATGTTGGCATTCCATGAACAAGACGTTAAATGGCGGCGCATGATTGGGAAAGCTGAACCCGCGTAACGGGATAAGGCGAGGCAGAAGAAGAAGAATAACATTCAGCATCAGGTTTGACAGGGCATTGAAAGAAAGACATTTTCATTCGTTTCAGCTAATGACGTCCATTGCTGGACAAGGCCTCCCCCAAGGTTTTCCACAACGTATACTGCTTCCATACCTCAGGCACTCAGTTTGTGCTAGACATGTAGCTCTTACCGACTACCCTCATGAAATTCCATGGCAAATATCGTCGACGTCGGTCAGGCTACTACCTACGACAATACTTAGACAACACATAGGCCCAACAGTGGGCCAATAGGGACTGAAACATGTCTATGGATTTACAAAGAAAAGAACAAAAATACTCACTCTGGCATGATTTAGCAATAGCACCTAAATCTAAAAATTACACTGTATAAAAACATAAAATAAAACTAAAACCTAAATAAGAAAAGGTACTGAAAAGATTTTATAAAAACATCTCTACTGAAATGGATCATAGAAAATGACAGGAGTGAACATTCGATCGTTTGTTTTTTAATTTTTAAATATTCAGGTTGGTTTTTTCTTTGAAAGAGGTGGTACTTATTATATGTACTTAAGTACAAACTTTTTGTATTTTTTTTTTGTGGATTTCTACATTTATTATAGGTTGCGAAAAGTGAGTTGAGGCCACACAAGCCAAGATTATTATTGTCTGTATAATTATGACTGCGCTGCTTGACTTAAGGTCCTATGTCCCCGAGATGGGGCAGAGGGCGTCCACAACAGTCCTCCATCGCGTTCGGTCTTGAGTTTCGCGTTTGATCTCGCTCCAGGTCTTGCCAATTTTCTTCGCCTCGTCTGCTATAGTGCGCCGCCATTTGCTTGGGGCGACCACGTTTGTGTTTTCCTTGAAGGTTCCAATCCAGGGCCTGCTTAGATATGTGATCGGGATCCCTTCGGAGAGTGTGGCCAATCCAGTTCCACTTGCGGCGCTTGATCTGCTGGTCGATCATGTACTGCGCTGCACTGTATTCGATATTTTGAACTTGAATGTGCAATGCGTTCTGTATTAAAATAGCTGAGTGACAATATAACTTCGTGAATGAGTTAGCAAATGAAACAAATCAGTGGAACATAATTTATATTCTTTAAATATGTTCAATTGGGGTTTCATTACATTACCAATATTTAACCTTAAGTGAAAGAAATTATGTATCATTTATTTTCAAGTATACGGCTTTTCACAATTTATCAAAACCATCCATTTTTTATAACTATCCCGCCAAGAACTTTTTGTTTTTACTTATGCTTTTATTAAACTTTTGCTTAGTATCGATTCCTCGCGACTTTCTGGAAGATGTAACCTAAGTAATCATTGGTAAAACCCAATGATGTAATTGGAATATACGTCTGATTGCAGAACTGCAACTCCTCTCAAGCGACCCGCGGCGGGAGGAGACGCACGTCACGAAGCTCTAAAGTGCTCTGCGGCGGCTCCCGCCGCAAATCACTTGTCCAAGTTCGGGACCTTGTCATTTAAAAAATATAGTTCTGTTTCTTTCGCTCGAAAGTAATAATGCTTAAGTATGAATGTGATAGCTATATTTTCTAGGCACTATGGTTGCTTTTCAACCAAATTTTTCTCAGTCTGTGTTTGAAGATGACGCGATCCGCGGTGCCCGTCTGGGTAGTGAAAAAGATGGATGTTTTTTATCGTTTAGATGCTTTGGAAGTGTGTTTTTCTTTATAAAAAACGTGTATAATGTGATTAACTTTGGAAATAAGTGTTAATATATAACATTGCTTCTAATTTTGAAGGTGAATCAAGTGCAATCACAAAAAGTGACAAAAATGACGAATCTTTTTTTTCAAGTAAGTGTTGTACCTAAAATATATATTTGTTAGCCTTAAAAGTTACACCAAAAGACGGGTAATTTTATCCAGATTCCAAAAATGTGACTCGATAGTATGTAACGGTAATAATGATAAGCTATTTTAGGGAAAATGCGCAACGGGANGGCGGCTCCCGCCGCAAATCACTTGTCCAAGTTCGGGACCTTGTCATTTAAAAAATATAGTTCTGTTTCTTTCGCTCGAAAGTAATAATGCTTAAGTATGAATGTGATAGCTATATTTTCTAGGCACTATGGTTGCTTTTCAACCAAATTTTTCTCAGTCTGTGTTTGAAGATGACGCGATCCGCGGTGCCCGTCTGGGTAGTGAAAAAGATGGATGTTTTTTATCGTTTAGATGCTTTGGAAGTGTGTTTTTCTTTATAAAAAACGTGTATAATGTGATTAACTTTGGAAATAAGTGTTAATATATAACATTGCTTCTAATTTTGAAGGTGAATCAAGTGCAATCACAAAAAGTGACAAAAATGACGAATCTTTTTTTTCAAGTAAGTGTTGTACCTAAAATATATATTTGTTAGCCTTAAAAGTTACACCAAAAGACGGGTAATTTTATCCAGATTCCAAAAATGTGGCTCGATAGTATGTAACGGTAATAATGATAAGCTATTTTAGGGAAAATGCGCAACGGGAATTTTTTTTTTTTCCCGCGGGAAGTGGGGGGCACTTCACGCAGTAGCGCCTTCCCGCCGCAGGTCGCTTGAGGGGACAAAATGTGCAAGAAATAGAGAGAGCTATACTCTCCCATGCATAGTTTATATTGGGACATGTACAATTACCTGAAAAAGTGCTTACTTACATACTTACTATAAAGATGAATTTACATAATATTAAATTAAATACGCTATGTCGATTATATTTTAGTATTTTACTAAACGATGAAGCATATGATGTCCTGCATGCCCAAACAACTGTACGCAATGAATGCTACTGACAACGCCACTCTTGTAGCGGAGTTTTGGGCTGACACGACAAAATCAGGCTTCGAGTTGTTGTAATTTTTTTTAAACTAACTAATAGAATAGTTTTAGGATGACGTCATTTTTCCCGTGAATGTCGTGAAAGCCGATTACTTATNCGATCTATCATTATCCCCCATAACCTGTTTGGCCAGGGTGGGGAGTGTAGGCAATCCTCCATTTGCCTTTGATGAATGAAGATAGAGTCGAGAGCGTAAAGAGAGAATAGAAGGGCAATTTTATAGTAAACTAGTAGCCGCCCGCGAGTTCGTACGCGTGGATCCCGTTTTACCCCCTTAGGGGTGGAGTTTTGTAAAATCCTTTCTTAGCGGATGCCTACGTCATAACATCTAACTGCATGCCATATTTCAGCCCGATCCAGTGGTTTGGGCTGTGCGTTGATAGATCACTATGTCAGTCAGTCAGACAGTCAGTCGGTCACCTTTGAGCGATATATATTTAGATAGTCAATATCTTTAATGCATTCCATGTTGTACATAAGTTAAAAATAATAATAAAAATAAACTTTTTTAAAAACAAGCTTTTATTCTGAATTTCGAAAGCCTGTATCGCGCATGGAATTTATTCCTCTTTTTCTCTGTTTGCGCTACAAGCTTTCGAAATTCAGAATAAAAGCTTGTTTTTAAAAAAGTTTATTTTTATTATTATTTTATTTTACAATTTTTAGTTATATCTTAATCTCAGGACCCTGGACATTGTCTAATACTAAAGTGCTCAAAAAGACAAATCCAACGAACCCAAACACGATGAGTTTCCGCCGTTTTGTTTAGGAGTTCCTATGGCTACCTTCCGACTCCATCATCAGACCAGCTCAATGGTACCATAATATTGCATTGTCATCGTACTTACATAAGTATACCAAATTTCAGCTCAATCGGTTGAGGAGAACTGGTCTTAAATTCAGTTGCAAGATTTGTCCCACACATACCTACTAACAAGTGAAGTCAATATAAAGCTTGTAAAAAAGTTTAGTGTTACATGTCTCATACGTTTACATTTGTCGGCCGTTTGGTGTAGTGGTTCGAAACGGACTACTATTCCGGAGGTAGCGGGTTCGATTCCCGCACAGTACAAACATTTGTGTGCAGAACATATTTGTTTGTATTGGACTGGGTGTTTTCTATGTACTATAATAAGTATGTATTTACAAAAAAAAAAGTATTTAAGTATGTTTATATCAGTTGTCTAGTAGTACTCCTAGTACAAGCTTTGCTTAGTTTGGGACTAGAAGCGCAGTGTAAAATGTCTAAGGATATTTATTTATTACTAGCGGCCGCCCGCGACTTCGTACGCGTGGATCTCGTTTTACCCCCCCCCCCCCTTCATCTATCTTACGCGGTTCAGATATTTTCATACAATTTTTTTTCCCGCTAACTCCCGTTCCCGTGGGAATTTTGCAATATCCTGTTGTAACTAAGCTTTAAGTTTACTAAGATACCTGCATACCAAATTTCAAGCGTCTATCTTACGCGGTTTAGATTTTTTCACACAAATGTTTTTTCCCGCTAACTCCCGTTCCCGTGGGAATTTTGCAATATCCTGTTGTAACTAAGCTTTACGTTTACTAAGGTACCTGCATGGCAAATTTCAAGAGTCTATCTTACGCGGTTTAGATTTTTGTATACAAATGTTTTTTCCCGCTAACTACCGTTCCCGTGGGAATTTTGCAATATCCTGTTGTAACTAAGCTTTAAATTTACTAAGATACCTGCATGCCAAATTTCAAGAGTCTATCTTACGCGGTTTAGATTTTTACATACAAATGTTTTTTCTCGCTAACTCCCGTTCCCGTGGGAATTTTACAATATCCTGTTGTAACTAAGCTTTAAGTTTACTAAGGTACCTGCATGCCAAATTTCAAGCGTCTAACTTAAACGGTTTAGATTTTTCATACAAATGTTTTTTCCCGCTAACTCCCGTTCCCGTGGGAATTTTGCAATATCCTGTTGTAACTAAGCTTTAAATTTACTAAGGTACCTGACTGCCAAATTTCAAGCGTCTAACTTAAGCGGTTTAGATTTTTCATACAAAAAGATTTTCCCGCTAATTCCTGTTCCCGTGGGAATTCCTAAGTATCCTATAACCTGCCCAGGAGTATGAAAAATAATTGTACCAAGTTTCGTTAAAATCCGTCGAGTAGTTTTTGTTTCTATAAGGAACATACAGACAGACAGACAGACAGACAGACAGACAGACAGACAAAAATTTTACTGATTGCATTTTTGGCATCAGTATCGATCACTAATCACCCCCTGATAGTTATTTTGAAAATATATTTCATGTACAGAATTGACCTCTCTACAGATTTATTATAAGTATAGATTTATTTATACATATTTGTTTGTACCCTACCGCTGCTACAAAATGCTGGAGCGATTTTGGGATTAAAAATGTCATGTATTATACCTAAAATAAAAATAAAATAAAATGTTAGTAACTTTAACTTTAATTTCAAGCGGTAGATCAGATACTAAATGACTACAAACAAGTGATCATTTATTTTATCCTGTAGCATAAGTAGACTCCTAAGCTGTAGGTAGGTAAGTAGGTTACACCTAGTTATACCCAATTTAGTAGTACTTAGCAACACGCATTATACGCGTTGTAATGAAATAAATAAAATAACTTAGCAGTTATCATCTAATGAGATAATGAACAATGATAAAAAAATCAAGAGGAAGCTGGTGACCTAACAGGCATCATTGACCTATTAGATATTGATAATATTGCGATGATGGTTGAAAACACAAAATAAATAATAATCGCTATTTAAGTAAATATCTTATTTTTATTTGTCTTCAGTAAGTATTAACTTGTTATTTCCACTCTATTTCTATCTATAAAACTCAAACGTGAAGGATCGGGCTGAAATATGGCATGCAGGTAGATGTTATGACGTAAGCATCCGCTAAGAAAGGATTTTACGAAATTCCACCCCTAAGGGGGTAAAACGGGATCTACGCGTACGCAGTCGCGGGCGGCCGCTAGTTAATAATATAAATCCTTACACATTTTACACAGTACTGTTTTGGTTAAAGCATCAAAAAGCATGTTGCGGTGGAAAACAGTCCAGTACTTACCTTACCTCCTAGTTATTAAAACATACCAGACTAATTACAATTAAAACGTTCATATTATTACCTATTACTATTCTATTGGTATAAACTCGTATAAAATATATTAATATATTTTCTATTCTGATTTTTCTGCACAAATGCTAAATAAGTAGCGTTGAATTAATCAAGGTTAGGTTGTCAAGATTTTTGGTATTATACCTAAGTACCAGCTGCTGTAACTTGTAATATTTTATTAAGATATATAGAGGAATAAAAATGCCAAGTTTTTGCTACCCTTTCTTCTGTGCTTCCTCCGCCATCTTGGAGAAATCGTATAAACAAATTACAAAAGTTTAAGAAAGTTATAACCCTTTCTTCACTGTTACCTTCTCTCATTTATTTCTGAAACCCTTGAAACTTGTAATTATGAAATAAGAGCTTGCTGTTACCAATGTAGGTTTATTAGTTATAATTATTATAAAAAACTGTACCTATGCTAAATAATTTTACCAAAAAATATTTTTTGCAGTACTTACCTACCAAAATCAATCATGATGACTCTCTTCATAATGATCTTTTAATAATGTGATTGTATGCAATGCGAAGTACTTTGCACGCGAGTGTACTTATATCGTTTTATCTCTGTTTATGTATTTTTATTTCAATTTCTAAGTATTACGAACCATAATATAGGTACTAGCGAGGGTTCGCTTTAAGCTAGCCTAAGCAGCTATTAAAGATTAATATACCTAATTAGATAATGATAAAAAGATAAGATATTATTATGCATTTCAATTGCTGTTGTCTTGCAGTGTGTTTCTGACAGTGCGCATGTAAACACGTTTTCGATAAAACATAATTAACTTATTACAAATATTTTGTGATACGATTTGCCGAAGAGAAATACGTGAGTTTATAGTGTTTTTTAATTTATGTGGTTTTTAATTTCTTTCGAATGTCAAAACCATTTATTTTTATTTACAATTTTATAAACTATTGTAGGTAAGTACTTAGTTAATTTTATTAGGTATTATTATTTTATCGTTATGCAGCAGTGGGAAAAATAATTTATAAGTAATTAATTTTATTTATTCTTAATTATTTACCGCCAATACTTACTTAATACGGTATTGTATAGAATAGCTATTAAAACGTTCTACACATTAAAGATCTCGTCTTGATACTTCTGACTTCAAATGAAATAAAATAATAAATGGGTTTACAATAAAAATTCTAATTAAGTTTTTGATCATTTGAAAGTGCTGTACGTAAATATGTGTTTTAAACAAAAAAACTTGAAAAAAAAAGCGACTCTAATCGCCAAAAAAAAAAAATTACGGCGGTGTTGATCGATTTTCATTGGCATATTACTTTAAGATGTATTCAATTACTGTATTTTATTAGGTATAATTGCTGTATTTTATTGAAAAAGAGGCTGACAAAGGTGACTGAGTTTCTTCCGCCACTTTTTCTCAGCGCCAGCCCATATGTTGTCCCGAAGTGGTGGTAGGGCAAGCTATATTTGGGACGTGTATAAGTGCCCTAGAAAGGGCCTATGTACTGAATAAACTATTTGAATTTGATGGTATTTCTTATCAACAGTGAACCATGTCTTGCGATTGTGATTATATCTTGAAGAAAGAAGATGTAGAGACGCAGCACTACTCCAATTGCAGCTCTCTGGCAGGAGGGGCGGCCAAACTTAGGTATAGTCCGTCATCATCATCATCATTGCAGCTACAGGACGTCCACTGCTGATCTGAACATGGTCTCCTTCAATGTTTTTTATACAGGGTGTTAGGTAAATGGGTATATGAGCCGACACTAGCCCATGTTGACATGGTCATATAAATGGTATGGTGAAGTCAGAAAATTGATATCTTCATTTTAATTATTTTAATTTTCATACAAATCGGATTTTATGAAATTTATTTTGTATGAAAATTAAAAAAATTAAAATCATGATATCAAATTTCTGACTTCACCATACCATTTATATGCCTATGTTAACATGGAATAGTGTCGGCTCATATACCCATTTACCTAACACCCTGTATTGCCCGCATGAGGGGCGGCCAAACTCAGGTAGAGTCCCTCATCATCATCATGATTTCAGCCAGAACGTTCACTGTGGAACATAGGTCCCCCTCCAATGATTTCCATATTGCCCGCATGAGGGGCGGCCAAACTCAGGTAGAGTCCCTCATCATCATCATTTCAGCCACAGGACGTCCACTGCTGAACATAGGCATCCCCCAATGATTTCCATATTGCCCGGTTGGTAGCGGCAGTTGCTAAGATTCCTACGATCGTAAAATAGACTTGTTTCTAACTTAAGAAAATCTCTCTGAAACTCTGAAGCTCATAGCAGACTTATCAACTCGGAAAGGTATAAAACACCGTATCGCATTTCGCGCGTTGTCAATTGCGAGGCGAGGCGTTTATTTACAATGCCAGTTCATTCGGATTTTCATAGTGAACGCACGTGTGGACTCTGTGAGAATGGAGGAAAGCGATGAAGAACAATGCAAAGCGAGCGCCGGACTGCGTCCACTGATCGGCATTACGTATGACGTCATCGGCAGGCATCGCAAAAGTTGCCTCTCGGAGCATAGGTGTCGGCATTGTCGACGTGCGTACGATGCGGACAGGTGGACGCACTTATATGAGTTTCTATATAAATAATACTACGATGTATTTTCATACACTGAACACTGACCGACTCGAGTTGATACGGTTACTTACGATCCTATTCCGGGTTGATAAATTTATGTGCTACGTCCTTTAGCGCCTACGCTAAAACTTGCGCGAATACGCGAAGCGGTGATCGTTTTACTATACAGTGTGAGTCACGTTAAAGTGTACATATGAAAATAGATGAAACTAGACCTATTTTTATCGAGAAAAAAGAGGTCAAAAAATTTTTGAGATTTTTTTTTAATTTTTTATAGAATTTTTTTTCTTCAAATTACTTATTGTAAAGAAAACGTAATAAATTTTAAACTAAGCGGTATATCCTGATAAAATAAAAACAGTAATAATGCTAAATAACAGGCAATACTAAAAAAATACATAAAATACACAAAAAATGCCAACAAATAATAAAAAATGATACTTTTTGAAAAAAATCTGCTTAAAAATTCGTGTTTTTTTGGTTATTTGATAAATTTCTCCAAAAAATGCCCCTATAACCGGTGGTTTTTATTACTTTGTATTATTCTCTATCGTATTATCTTTGTAAAACCAAAAATCGCATGTCTCTATCCCTATCACAACATTTGCTATGATCGTTTGAACAAAGGCCTGCCACAACATTATTCTCCGCTACAGGTAGAGACAATTTTAATTTTAACTAAAATGCTTATTTTACTTCGAAATCTTTTGTTTTTATTTGAAATCTAACTTGTTTTTATCAAAATTACAAATCTAGAGCCATTTTCAGTTTTGTTGTTAACGAAGCGTTGAATGGCGCGCCCGGAGAGGCTTAGTTCAAACGATCATTGCAAACGTTGTGATAGGGATAGAGACATGCAATTTTTCGTTTTACGAAGGTAATACGATAGAGAATAATACAAAGTAATAAAAACTACCGGTTATAGGGGCATTTTTTGGAGAAATTTATCAAATAACCAAAAAAACACGAATTTTTAAGCGGATTTTTTTCAAAAAGTATAATTTTTTTATTATTTGTTGGCCTTTTTTGTGTATTTTATGTATTTTTTAGTATTGCCTGTTATTTAGCATTATTACTGTTTTTATTTTATCAAGATATACCGCTTAGTTTAAAAGTTATTATGTTTTCTTTACAATAAGTAATTGGAAGAAAAAAAATTCTATAAAAAATTAAAAAAAAATCTCAAAAATTTTTTGACCTCTTTTTTGTCGATAAAAATAGGTCTAGTTTCATCTATTTTCATATGTACACTTTAACGTGACTCACACTGTATAAACATAATTAAGTCAAGTAAATAGAACATTAAAAAATATAGAATTAACAATAAAAGTATTAACTTAGTTTAAAGACGTTGGAAATAGCATAATATAATTAATGACAGTTTTATTATGAGTGCAATAATGAGTCTAGCTTTTATAATAAATAAACCAAACGGTGTGAGTAATTCCACTCTACCATCCGTGCCACCAGGATCTACAGTTTATTGGTCAATAAAACTCGCACTGTTTTAGGTGGACAGTCCTGGGGCCTACCTTTACATAAAATTACAAAATAGTTATATGTATTTTATTGAAATACGCGGTTTATTTCGATATTTCCCTTACAGAAACCCGGATGGCACCTTGACATTGAATAACAAGCATCTGAAGTCACTGGATTCGGATTACCTGTATCATTTGGGCATAGACACCGGGAGCTATGATCTGTCCATGTTTGAAGACGTTAAGGTAAACATTTATAAATCAATATTTTAGAAATCTATACTTATAATAAATCTGTAGAGAGGTCAATTCTGTACATGAAATATATTTTCAAAATAACTATCAGGGGGTGATTAGTGATCGATACTGATGCCAAAAATGCAATCAGTAAAATTTTTGTCTGTCTGTCTGTCTGTCTGTCTGTATGTTCCTTATAGAAACAAAAACTACTTGACGGATTTTAACGAAACTTGGTACAATTATTCTTCGTACTCCTGGGCAGGTTATAGGATACTTAGGAATTCCCACGGGCACGGGAATTAGCGGGAAAATTCTTTTGTATGAAAAATCTAAACTGCTTAAGTTAGACGCTTGAAATTTGGCATGCAGGTACCTTAGTAAACTTAAAGCTTAGTTACAACAGGATATTGCAAAATTCCCACGGGAACGGGAGTTAGCGGGAAAAAACATTTGTATGAAAAAATCTAAACCGCGTAACATAGATGAAGGGGGTAAAACGGGATCCACGCGTACGAAGTCGCGGGCGGCCGCTAGTAATTACATAAAACGTCAATATTAAGGCTGAACTCAGCAATAAAGTTAGGTGGTGCAACTGCATCACCTAACTTTGACCGTAACTATGACGATAACCGGTGTTTTTACCTGACTGCGCCAGAAGGAGGGTTATGTTTTTCGAGTGTATGTATGTATATAGGGTGGAATTTTGTAATGCCACCTGGAGGGAAAGTACACTTAATACTGTAGATAGAAAATTTTACTCAAAGAAACCATTCCTTTATTTATGAAAAGAAAGAGAACTGCATCCTTTATTTTTGAAAAAGAACTTGTGATCCCCAACTTTTTGAATCCCCTATGTCCATCAGCGATAATGTAGAACTTTTATGGTGAAAGAATTTTTGAAATCGGTCCAGTACCTCGAGCATGAACAACTTTCGTCTTCGAATAGTTTGCGTATTCGATAAAATTCGATACTCAACCATCGATATAAACGATAACTTGACAATTTTGATTCTCAAAATAAGTTTCGTGCAACCATTTCTCATACTAAGTTCACTTTACGATACGTTCACAAGGGCGCTGTTTTAGTTCTCGTTCTAAATCTTTTGATGGCGATTCGAATACGCAAACGATTCGAAGTCGAAAGTTTTTCGTGCTAGAGGTCTTACAGTAGTATTTGAGAATATTCGTTACGAAAATACAGATGTTTTCTCGTTAACATAGTAAGTAAGAAATATGATGTTTTCGGTTCCAGTTTGTCTGCTTGGGCGGTAAGAAGCATAGGATGCACGAGTTTGCCAAGTACATGACTAGAGTACTTGGCTTGGAGACAGGGGAGAAGTTGGTCAACTTGACCAAGCATTCCAAGAGGTTCGCCATGTACAAAGTAGGCCCAGTCCTGTCTGTCAACGTGAGTATTTTATATGGTTTTTTTTAAATTAATTTAAACAGGTTTTAACGCACTACGCGGTCACGGCCGGTGCAACTCGGTCAAAACGACAGGCAAATACAGGTAATATTTCAATGTCACCTATCCGCGTATCGCGTTAAAACCTGTTTAAATTAATTCAATTATGCAACGCAAAAGTTTAAAATTAATTACTTTTTTTAAGTCCCGTGTTAACCCCTGGTTAGTTAAAGGCCTATTCAAACCTGAGCGATATTCGCTGCCGTTGTGGGTAGAGGTACATACCGCGCGGGTTTCGCTCAGGTATTTAGTATCAAATACCGCGGCTAGAGCGACCTGAGCGATATTCGCTGCCGCTGTGGGTAGAGGTACATACCACGCGGGTTTCGCTCAGGTATTTAGTATCAAGTACCGCGGCTAGAGCGATTTCTCTGCCGCAGACGGTAGCGAATACCGCTTAGGTCTGAACAGTATTATTACCGCATACCCACTGGGTTTTCTCTGCCGCAGACGGTAGCGAATACCGCTTAGGTCTGAATAGGCCTTAAAACCCACAAAAACATTTTCATGTCAAACGTTGCCAAGATGTGACCATGGCTTGCATTGTAAAGAAGTTATCAGATATCATGTAGAGTCAAAATTAATAATAAATTTAAACTAAACGCCCTATCTCTTTTATCTATTGTCAGGGAATCCCCTTGTCGCGACTTTGTGATGTAGATAGCATGCTATACTTAATCTGCCTAATAATATTTGAAAGAAAGAAAGAAAAAAAAACATTTATTTATTGATGATGTCTTACCCTTATTGTAAATAAAATCTAACAAGTGCTGACTTGTTCAATTATTATCAATCACTAGCTGACCCGGCGAACTCTGTTCCGCCTTAAAGGCAATAAATAAGCAAATCTTTCCTTATTTGCTCACCGTTTAGACCTACCCTGGACTACGACAAAAAATTTAACACCAAAATCAGCTCAATCGGCCCAGCCGTTCTCGAGTTTTAATCAGACTAACGAACATCAATTCATTTTTATTTATACATATAGATAGATATATTATCTTATAATTTTTGTAAATCGAGTAAAACGGTGCATGTTATTGCATGCAGTGTACCTAAGTATAGGCAGACTGCAACTGTCTTCAAAACAGTAACTTAGTACATACGCATACAGAAAGCATTAAAATTCTCTTAATGTTAAGTGTGAAACTAAAAACTTCATAAGACCAGCACACTATAAACATGAATTTTAACGAAAATTTGATGATTTGTAAAACTATTTTAATTACACAAGAAAAAAAATTTCGAGCATGACAGATTAACGAAGCAACTTCGCGATTTGTGTGAAATTGTCAGCTCGCTGTCTGTAACTTTTAACCGACTTCAAAAAGAAGGAGGTTCTCAATTCGAGTGTGTGTGACCGACACCGAGGCTTATTAATTATATTAAGGCTGGTTTTAGTGTCACGCGGACCGTCTGGTGCGGACCCCGCACGGCCAATCTGTATGAACTTCTAGGCAGCGTTTTAGAGTAATGCGATCCGGAGGAACCGCTCCGCTCCCTAGCAGTTCATACAGATCGGCTGTGCGGAGCGATCTGCACTGACAGACCGCGTGTCACTAAAACCAACCTAACGGTTTACTTTCTCTTTCCAGCATGGCATCGGAGTTCCGTCCATGACGACCGTCCTTCAAGAGGTCATAAAGCTGATGTACTACGCCAAGGCTAAGGACCCCATCTTCATCAGACTGGGAACCAGTGGGGGTCTCAACGTCCCGGCGGGGTCCGTCGTGATATCCTCGTGTGGACTCAGCGGGACAATGGAGAAGTCTTATGACTTGGTAAGTGGGAAAATAAGCTTTATTGCAGTTCGTCGTAAGGCTTGATTATGAAATCCAAAAGGCCTTGGTAAAATTATGGGAATTTTGAAGACTTTAAGGTTAAGAACCGTACCAGAAAGCGCAGCGTGGAATGTCCAAGACGTGTGGAAGACAATGTGAACTGACAAAAATTACCGGTTGTTATGGAAATCCTCCTCCGTCCATTTTTAATTTGATTGAAACTTTATAATTTACTTGATTTATTTTTATAATTCCAGCCAATATTGGGCCAAGTCAGACGTATGCCAAGCATCTTGGACGCGAGGCTTAGTCAAGAGATTCTTCAGGTCGCCAACGGAATCAAAGAATTTAATACCTACATCGGGGCTACTATGGGTGCTGACGACTTCTACAGAGGTTTGTTTTATTATTATAAAAGCGCTTTTTAAAAGCCTAAATTGCAAACGATAATAATGGCTTTTATGACTTTATTGAGGCAATAATTCATGTTAATTTAAAAGTCAATACAACTCCTACTCAAATATTCTAGAATCGACTTCCAGTTGGACCAATATTGACTTTGCAAAATAGAACATTTAAGTTACGTCAAAGGTGGGTGTTTGCAGTCTATGGATAAATTGATGTAAAGTCTAATTTTTTAGAAATCAGCAGAAATGTCATCAAAAATGGCCAACTGACATAAAAATATTTTTAGTCTGTGAACTAGTGATGCGACAAAACCTCTCGTTAATCGCGAAGTGAAATTATTGTAGTACTTGCGTATCATCGCCGGGTGATCGTCAAAATACTAAAAATATGCAACAATGTCGCAACATTGAATGTGATTGTGAACTGATTATGAAATTTTCGAGAACAGGAAACAAACTGTATGCACAGATGTAATAAAAAAAACACACTGGACAGTAAAACAATCAATGATATCCGTAAAGTTATTAAACTTCAAATAGTTGCAAAAAGTTCTGTTTGACAGTGTTGCTACTAGTGACATCTCGCTCGCTCAGTTCTTTGTTGCTCTATTCCGCTAGGGACCTCCCTAGGGTAATTTAAGATGAATCAATTGAAAGAATATTTTTATTTTATTTACTTATATAGGAAAATAAACAATGGAACAATACGTAAGCATAATTGCATAAAAAAGTAAAATAATTTCGTTTAAATAAAACAGACTAAAAATTAAACTGACTCCGAAAAAGTATACACTAAAAGTAGAAAAATAATTTTACGTTATTTCCAATATTGTCGAAGTTATCGCTGGAAAACTAAACAAAGTATCTTATATTTTTTATTTAAAATTAATCAGTAATCGGAATAAGTGAATATTTAAAATAATATCGATTAAATTTACAGATTATTGTCTATGACTCACAGGTTACAGCACTGATGTGTCAGAGACAAGTCATAGACAATATGGAGATAACACATGATTTTAAACGTCAAGTCAATTTAACAAGTCTCACAAATTTTCATCGTCCACGTATTTTGCTAAAATATCCTTGGTGCGTTTTCAGGCTATTTCATTACGTGGTTTCTTTCTTGCGTCTTTAGGGTTACATTTTTCCACGAACTGAGACAAATCTTCCATTATTTTGGATCAAAAACAATAAAAAACCGCAGCAACCTTAAGCATGTTATGAAAAAATCTCCATACTGATTTCGCAGTAACATGACCAAAATACCGTGCTGCCATTGGTCAATCAACTTTTAGAGGGTTTTGAAAGAAACGGACGGCGTTTTAGCGGTGTTTGTAACACAAACCAAATTTTAAGTGCTAGTTTAGTAGTCTTTTAGTGAATTTTGATCGAAAATGATTGAACAGTATGATGAGAAAATTGCAGTAACGTCATTTAGAGATTTAAACAGAAATTCGTTGCAGGAGCGTTTTAGCGGGTTTTGAAACTAGACGACTCAAATATGCGAATATCAGTCCGTCCTCTCCAAGCAGTCTAGACCGCATGGGCCAAATCCTCCATTCGTTTTAGTAAATTAGAGAGAGTCGTGCTCCTGCAATGGAGACAAAATAAACTTAACTTCGAACTGCCATGTTCTTGTGATTAATTTCGTTGCGGGTCCAATGACAGAATTTAGCTTTCCCTGGGACAAACTAGACTCTCACTGGCTGGGTTTTATTGGCGGTCAAACTGTAGATCCTGGCTACACAGGAGTCGCATTTGTGGGAATGAGAGGTTGTATAATAGATCGTTTCATCCACGAAAACGCGCCCCACCATTATTCCGCTAATGTTTGAGTGTTATCGGTAGGTACACGCTAAATTAGCCATGAGTGCACGCACACGCACACTACAATAATGATGCTCGGATCAAACTCCCCGCACCTTGCGCTTCCCTCGACCAAAAATTGGTGGGGCGCGTCTTCGTATATTTATAGATCTTGTATAGTTCTGTTGACTGTATTTTTTTACAGGCCAGGGGCGTTTGGACGGGCCGTTCTGCGACTACACAGAGGAAAACAAGATGGCGTTCCTGCGTAAGCTGGCTGGACTGGACGTGAAGAACATTGAGATGGAGGCAACAGCATTTGCTGCCTTCACTTCTCAGGCAGGCGTGCGTGGTGCCATCATTTGTGTGACTTTCCTAGATCGTCTCCACGGGGATCAAGTAAGAATGCATTTCAAGTGATTTATGTTTTTTTAGGTGACCTACAGACATAGCGCATCACTGAGTAGTTTTCTGCTGCGGAGGGATGACATGATGAGTGCATATGTGATGTATCAGCGCTGTCATGTTACATACATATGATTGCAGCATACCTAAACCTGAAGTCTCGCTGACTTTTCTCATAAGATAACACACGATCGCACCATTCTACCTACCTTCTGTAGGAACTATACCAATTACTATACCATGGCTATAGTACAGTTTTGTGTGTTGTTCACATAAAAACCTTTAGGTATATTAACAATAACATTTATCATTTTCTTTCAGGTTCTTACGCCTCCGGAAACTTTGGCCAAGTGGGAAGAGAGGCCTATGGCTATTTTAGGCAAATTAATCGCTAAATACTGTGACAAAAAGGCTTAAAATAGCAACGAAATAAACTTTGAACGAATATGTTTTTTTTAGATTTTATTTTAAGAATAAAATATTAGACCTAGTAATTTAGGGTACAATAAATTAAAAACCTTAAATTGCTTTTTATACTTTTGTATTGTAATCATCATTATTCAATATTATTCAATAAATAAAAAAACTCAACTTGAAGTTTGATTTAATCTACACACTTATCTTTGTAATTTGTTATGAATTACTTGTAGTAGCCTGTAATGTTATTCTGATGTAAAGCAGCTACTATTTGGATGGATGCATATTTTTTACTTTTTCAATGAAATAAAAAGTGTCATTTAACCATTCTCACAAACTTTTAAATTGAAATATTATCTTTATTTGTGAATCATAGCTAACGTAAAACATGTTTCACACTTAAAATATTGTAGGTAGAAATATGATATTGTCTGTACCCATTAATCAATTTATTAAAAACATTAAAATACTATACTTATATTAATTCAATACTACTTTGGTATAATAATATGGTATTCAATACTACTTTGCGTAGACCGTTACATGCATTGGTCCCGTAGTACGCTCCGTAGTCGCTCCAATGATTTTTCCCTCCAAATCCGTTAGTTCGTAGCCAAAGCTCGCAGCGGGCGGACGGCGCTACGGTTTTCGTAGCGTATTTGTCGCAAAATATCTTAATTTCCTTTATAAAAACCCCGCCCTCGGTGCGTTTTCACGTTTTTAGTGTGGAATTGCGTGTAAAGTGACAGTGTTTGTGTGTTACACGAAGGTTTTGAGGTATTCGACTGTGCGTGAACGTGAAGTGAGGATAAAATAAAGGTTTGCGCTATCGAGGATTGCGTGCGGTGAGAGGTGCACTGTGTCATTGTGTTAATCCTGTAAATTTCGACGATGGCTTTTGGAAGTGAGTAAGAACATTTTATTCCTTATTACAGATTTCCTGGATAAATTTGATATTACTATTAAATTAAGGGAATTCTTCCTTACATTTGTTTATAATAAATTCAAATCAAATTATTTATTTGCGATACAACTCTTAATTTTAAACCACGCAGAATGCTTTGGCGAGGCTCTAATTGACAGCTTAACCCCAAGTAGAGAAACTTCAGTAATTACGAGTAGCGTCTAACTTTACTTAACCTGCATAAGTATATGTGCTCCAGCAAAGCGTCATATTTTTCGTGGCATCGTTTTAATGTGGTCTGCGCCTAGGCTTAACCTGCAAGGGTTTAAACAAACCATAAACAATAGTTAGTGATTTCTTTATCTTACTGGGAACCAAACCATGGACTTGGGGTCGGGAAACAGACCTATAATCATTAGTTAGCGATACTCTGAGCCTAGGGGTCGAGTTAATCCCTTTAAGCTAATAAACGGATTTGTACGCATTAAGTTCGCGCGAAAACACGTCTAAGCGTGGCATAATTTATATAATTAAGGGTTAAATGCCTAAGTTAATATATCTGAAGGTAAATAAAGTAAATATCGTAGGATCAGACGATTCGGTTTGTTATTTTAGGAAAGACTTGATGATGATGATGAAGTAACAATAGAATCAAGAGAAATACCTAAGAATTTTGTGGTATTTTTTTTTCATTTCAAACGTTTCCTATACCTGTTGAAGGCCTGAAGGCCAAGACCTCCCAACGCTCCATTTGAAAAAATTTAGATTAATAAAGCTACAAAAATGATTTAGAATAGGTAAATACGAGATTTATGTATTCAGCTCTGTATATTTGTTACAGCCTGTTGTCACAGCTGTACCTACAAATAAACAAAGTGGCATTCTGAATTAGGGCTAACGTATTTGCGGTCAACGGCTGGCGAAATTGTAGAATGACAGGATGTTACTTGATGCTACTTGATGCTACACAGGCACAAACAGCTCTCCCCCATAGTATCATTTTCCAATGATACTAAAGTACGCCTATCAAACATACTATAAACATATACATATGTATATTAAAGTAATAATAACTGATTTATACCTATTATTTACGAATACCTCCTGGGCATTGGCTTTTCTTCAATCTTCTTTGTCGGCTGTGTTTTAGAGCATTAAAAGCTTGTTTTAGAAAAATTTTTTTTCTTTCCAATTTAATTTGAGGTAGCCCTCCTCGTCCTAAAGCGGGTTTTCTTGTTGTTGATTCGTTTTTTCATTAAATACTTTTGGTTGTTTGCTTACCCATTTTAAATTGAAATGAACCAGTTCCGCCGTTGTTTAGGTTTCCGGGTGAAGCTCGCTTCCACCTTCGGCCTGATCATCACTTATCATCAGGTGAGATTCAGGTCTAGAGCTTCCTCGTTGGGGATTAAAAAAAAATAGAAACAGTAAACTTTTATTTGTTACAGTCCCAGAATCATTACAGTAATAATAATTATTAAAAAAACATTAACAAACTAGACAAGCACAGGTATATTTTCCATCACAAGACTCATTTCTTTGTACAAGCCAATATAGATTGTCGTATTATCGCATCAATACAGGAAGTGTCCCTTTTGCGTACCTCTCCGGGTTCAAACATTTTCAGGGGCATGTCGCGAGATGTGGACGAGTACGTCCTTTGTGCCTTTGTGGCGCAAATTGGGGCATTACCGAGGGTTCCACTGTCAGAGGCGACTAATATAATTGTGTTTGACAGGCTGAGTGCTGTGTGGAAAGAGTGCTGTGGAAATAGAGGTTTTTGTTTTGGTAAAGCCTGATTTTCATTTAAAAGTGCTGAGATTAAGTTATGGTTAAGATTAAAAAGAACCGAGATTATAAGCTTAGGGATAAGTAGGCACTCGTATTGCAAATGTAAGAAATATTCATATTATTTGACGTCACAACATAAACATAGACAATAAGTTCAGCTTTTAAAAAATCTACCGAATGTAATAAAATGGGATTCATCCTACTCTCCCTGAGAATGTGATCTTAAATGATGACTAAGGCAAATTGAAATATGTGGACATTAGGTCTCCCTAACCCGTCTGGTCAGCGTGGAGAGTGTAAGCCGAATCCTCCATTTGCTTCTGGCAAATTGGAAATAATCTTGTTGTTGCAGTGGAGACTAAATGACTTGATGATGATTCAGAGCGTATTGTAGTTACTTTATTTTTTTATGCAGTTTTTTTCAAGTTAAAAGTTAGTTTTTTTATACAGAAAATACAGGTATCTGACTGCAATCTGGTGCTAAGTGAGATGCAGTCTAGAATGATACATACAGGTTGCCCTGTAAGTGCCTATTCACTCTCACCTTGAAGAGGCTCAGTTATAGCGTTCGGGAAAGATAGCAGCAGTGTGGTAGCAGGCAGTGAATTCCAGTTCCTAGCTGTTCGCATTTTGAAAGAGTTATCGATTTAACGACAATAGGCACCTAAACTGCCAGCATCATCATCATCATCATTTCAGCCATAAGACGTCCACTGCTGAACATAGACCTCCCCCAATGATTTCCACAGTAGCCGGTTGGTGGCGGCCTGCATCCAGCGCCTTCCCAAAACTGTACTTTGACAATATTATAATATGATCCCTGGGTACCTATATCATGATTAATAATGTGTGCTCGCTCGTTAAGAGAAGCTGTTCTCTTGCAATCTAAAACAACGAGCCAAGTCGAATTGTATAAATTATCATAATGACTTTCTAAATTACCGTCCTAAATAAGGATCTCTGTGAACAAGAAGATTAATGTTTTTACTTTATTCCGAGGCAGTAAATTGCCCAATGTAAGGTTAAGTGGGTTTTTGGAATAATCTAGCAGGATGGAGGTATTTTCACATAAGTAAGTGCCGTGTGTGGGACATTTTTATGAGAATGAGGAACAGTCCTATTTATTAACTACTAGCTTTCCGCCCGCGGCTTCGCCCGCGTGGAATTTTGTCTGTCACAGAAAAACTTTATCGCGCACGTCCCGGTTTCAAAAACCGGGATAAAAAGTATCTCTATTCCAAATTTCATCAAAATCGGTTCCGTGGTTTAGGCGTGAAAGAGAGACAGATAGACAGAGTTACTTTCGCATTTATAATATTAGTATAGATGTAAAAGGCGATTTTGATGATACCTGAAAGCATTTATCTTCCCTGTCAATCTAGGTCTTCTTTTCAAGTCAGGTGTTGCTACTGTATTTTTTCAATATAATTTAGATGCATACTCGTATAGTCATAGTTTCTTTTCTGAGTTTAAGTACAATGTACAACTTTTTGATCAACAAAGAGGAAGCTTTTGATTTTCATTGCATCTCACCTAAAGGATAGTGAAGATTAGGTCGATTCTATTGCAGATGGACTTTTAGGTATAACTGTAAGTCCTCAACAAATAATAAATAGGCTAATTGTTTTCTCATCTAAACTGTTATTACCTACATTGTTTTCCGTTTTTATCAACAAAAATCTCTGTTTCAAAATTCATCCCTATTTAGGAAGTCTATGAATCTCTCTCTATAAATATTAAACGTCACGACTCCTCGTGGTCACGAAAGGCTGAAGTTGATGTATGGTCCCACAAAAAGGGTTTATTTATTTGTCCACCAAACGCCTGTGGTTTTTCCGAATTTTCCTTTTGGGATTTCATATGATATACGTTTTTTATCAAACCGTAACGCTTTATTTGCATAAAAATTGCCGGTGGTACGGGTGTTACTCGTAAAGATAAAGACTAAATAATTAAACAAAATACAATAATAACGTTTATGTGTAGAAATATAATATAGAAAAACTTTTTTTTTTTTTTTTTTTTTTTTTTTTTTTTTTCTTTTTTTTTTTTTTTTGAGTATAAGACCATTTTTAGGGCCCAAATAAATATTGCTCAACTGTGCTGATTAATGGCGGAAGAGACTCACGCCCGTATCCCCGTATTGACAAACATCTAAATATATAAAAGGAGAAACTGACTGACTGACTGACAGATCAACGCACAGCCTAAACGGCTAAACGTAGGCACTTGAAATTTGGAAGGGACGTAGCTTAGATACCGTAGAGGTGCACTAAGAAAGGAATTCCCGAAATTCCCACGGGAACGGGAATTAGCGGGAAAAACGTACGAAGTCGCGGGCGGCCGCTAGTTACTAATATGAGGTCTCACAGTGCGCCTGGATGCACAGCGTGAC